ACGCTAACATGTTGTTACAAAGCAAGGCTTTGCTTGTGTGTTGAGTATTTAGAGCTGACGTAACACTCCCACCTCCCTTTCAGAACCCTTTGTGAACTGAGCTATTGTGGTGTTGTTTAGTGACTGGGTTTATTGTATGCAACTATATTGTTTGTCATAGACTGGATTTGTGGGTAGAACCAGACTTCAAGTTAAAAATAAACAAACCAAAAACAACCAACAAAAACATGTGGGTTCTTCTGAAAGGATCAGAAGCTTTGACTTTTCAGATATAGCGTAGATTTTGGTTTTAGTGCCTTCTACAAACATTTCTGAAAGACCTCAATTGCGCACAGAGCTTCATTAAACAGCAGCTGACTTTGGAGTGGGGTGTGACAGCAGAGACCTTGCAATACAGGTTTAGCTCCAAACCCTACACTTCAGCATGAGTTGATGAGCATCACAAAATCTGTATGTGCACGGGCACTTTGAACCTGATTCGTTATGCTGCCTGGGGATGTATGCGGCACGGACACTGCTTTTGATGGTTTAATTTTTTTCTCTTTCTCTCCAGTGTCCTTCATTTGCAGAGCATGTGTGCTCCACTGTACTTTCCTCACTTGCAGCCTCTACAGCTGGAGCTACTTGCATGTTTGTGTACTTCTAATTGTTTTTTAATTTAGTTCCATGTAAACATCTCTTTGCCTGTTTGCTTGCTTGTTTTTTGATCAGCTCGGAGTACCTCATTAGAAGAGATTTCTGCTAGCGTGCTGCCAGCTGATTAGAAGAGAGCACCAAGGTTTGTCTAATCTCTGGTGTGACTGTCATGTGCTACAGCAAGGAAGTGGCTTCGGGAGAAGCAGCCAAATCTGCATGGGTATTAAACCATGTTGAGGAGAACTGTACTGGTGGGGATGAAGTGGATAGCCGTTTGGTGCAGGCAGCTTATTAAACACAAGGACTGTCTTTGCTCAGAAGGCCAAGGAAGTGGTAAGAGATTTCCAGTACATACCCTTAAAGGCAAAAAGCCTGTGGGAATGCTGTGTGTGCCCCCAGTGCACCGGCTGTGCCCCGTGCTGTCCTGCATGGCTGCTCTGCACGCAGGGCACTGCTGTCACTTTGGGATGGGGCTGAGGGTTTTGGGGATGGCCTGGCTGTGCTTTGGGAGTTGTGGTGGTTCAGCTGCACCCAACGAGCCACCTCACAGAGCCTGGGGAGGAGATGAGTCCTCGTGCAGCGTCATGAACCAGTTCTGGCACAGTGAGAGCCAGCGAGGCGCTGAATTGCTGGGATCACAACTCTTCATCTGTATAGCTGGAACTTCTATGGGGATGTAACTGAGGAGTCATTCAAGGCTCATTCCACGTGAGTAGCTACAGAGAAGGCTTGCAGTTGCTGCATGTGAGGCAGTGCTGGCTCTGGGTGTGCTGGGTTTGCTGGGCTACAGCTGCGCCGATTGTTTTCAGCTCCTTTCATGAACTGTTTTGAGGAAACTGCTTCTTTCCTCTTCCCACCTTCCACTTACTTGAAGCAGGAGCATCTGTCCCCGTGTCAGCATTAGGCTCATATTTAATGAGAGAGCTTTTACCTGGCAGTCGTTTATTTTCTGACAATGGGGGCCTGCCCAAAAGGGGAATTGTCTTGTGTCACTGGGAGGTGAGCACACCAGTGATTTTTCTGTGGGACGTATCCAAAGCCGGGAGAGGAACGTTCAGTTCTGAGGGGCTTAGGCCACCTCTAGCTGTATGCTCGCAGAGGATCTGAAATTTTGCAGGGTTGGTTATGGACTCGGGATCTGGGCTGTTGTTCTGGCAGGATGGCCACGTGAAGTGCAGTTTTCTGAGGTGGCAATGTTATTGGCAGCAACATCAAAGTTATGGGCAGCTGATTGCAGAGAGATTACAGTGCTGGGATAATTGGATAAAGGGCGGGTGAAGAAACTCGACGCTTAAAGTACTTGGTGTAAATCTGCCTGTCCCTGTGTGTCCTTGATTTCAGTACTAGAATTTGTGGGCTCACCTGGTGGGTCCTGGGAGATATTCTGAGGGGTGGGGTGGGATAGCTGGCAGCGTGGCTGTGTGGGGATGGATGTGAGTGGCTCAGGGCTGCTGCTGAGCTGGGCTGGTGTGTCCGTCTTGTTTTTGCTTCACAGCAAGAACAGTCCTGAAATGCAGGTTCCTCTTTTCCTATCTGGCATTAAAAAAAACGTATTCAGGGAAAATGCTGGGTGTACATGGAGCTGCTGGTAGGGAAGAACAGAAACTCGAGATCAATGGGTGCGTTCTCCAAGGGGATTTAAAACCAGCAGTAAATGAGGAGGCACTGGGGCTGCCAGCTGACTGCAGCCTGACTCCTTCATTCAGCACAGTGCCTGCTGAAAACAGCAATTCTGTTTACGTATTTTTCATGTTAATTTTTTAAAAATTATTTTTGCTTTCAAATGCAATGCTACATTTAGATAACTGCTTGTTCTTGTTGATGTTTTCCGTGTGAATAAGTGCAAAATTCTGGCAGAAGGAGCGTGTGTGTGTTAAAAAAACAAATAAAAACCCCCACTCCACTACCAAAGAAACAACCAAAGGAAAACCAAACAGCAGCAGCAACGAGCTGATCAGTAAGAAAGGAGCCTGAGCTGTTTAAGTATGGCAGAGCATGGGGAGAAGCTGCATCCCCCCGGGAAGAATCGGTTTCCTTGCAGTAAGGCTAATCTTTCTGGCATTTGTCAGTTTCTGCTTTAATGCTATTTATAGTGCAGCATATATAAACACTGGCCTGTGTTTAGGTGAAAACACAAAGTTTCATTTGAAGTCTGATGTGTCAGGAGCAGGTTTGATGTGGCAGGTTTCCTTAAAGGTACCCAAACCCTTTCAGATTCCCAAGGGAAGTTCTGCAGGGTGGTTCTCAATAATGCAGCTCCTGAGAGATGTGCGTTAGCTCACAAAGCTGTAGCTGTGCTGAGGAAAAGCCAGGAGGTTCCCCTTAGCTTAGATGTGACGTTGGACTTGTTGGCGCAGGGTTCAGGTGTGGGGATAGCAGTCGGCTGCTGTGGGTGAGGCCGTTTTGAGTGGCTTGGTCTTTTAGCAATGAAGCATGAAATTAAAGGTTTGTTCTTAATGGTCTTGTGATCTTCGGGAATGTGCTTCAGTTTGAATGCCTGCTTTTCCTCCCCGCGCTCTCTATCATATTGTTAGAATTATTCACAAAGATGGTATTTGTGCTTGTTGTGGGTCATATTTGTGCTAAAATTATCTGTTCCGTGAGAAACTGCTTTGGGGCTTTTGGCTCTGAGCATCCCTTTAGAGCAGCGGATTTGACATGCCTTTGTCACTTCTGAGAATTAAAAATACATATTTTAAATAAGATGAAAGCTCGATCCCACCTAATTACTTAGCTGGAACGAGGCTTTGTAACTAACACCAATATCTTATGAGTCATGTTGGACTCATAACGATGAGCGGTCCTCTCAAGGAGGATGTCTTGGGAGGAAACAGTGAGAAGTGAAAATGTATGCATGTATTCTACATGCAGATAAAAATATACCCGGCTGTGGGGCTGCTGCTGCTCCCCTGCTGGGGGCTGCTGTGCACCGGGGGCAGCCGCTGCTGCGGGGCCTCTGTTGCTGTGGCAGCAATCTCTGCCTTTGGGTCGAGATCCTCATCCTGAAGACAGTCTGTGGTTCAGCAGGAAATGGACCCACGCGCATCTCATGGCTTCCAAATGCCACATTTTATTTGGAGATGTTTTTGTCATATTGACAGCTATTGCACTGGCCAAGCTTATAGGAGGTGTTCAACATGGAAATAAGTAAACGTTTTCTTTGAAAACTGCTTGGGATTTGTGGTTCACGGAAGCTTTCTCAGAATGTGGCATGACAACCAACCACCTCCTACAAATATGCACTGCTGGCTGCCTTTTTGTGCCTGCAGAGCTCGAGGTAGCCTTGGGAGCTTGAGTTACGCCAGCTGGGTTTTAAAAGGTGTGAAGGCATGTCTGTCCTCTGCTGGAACTTCGCTTCTGTGCATCAGGACTGACCTTGCAGGTCAAGAAGGAGAACAGAGGGTGAAAAGCCCTGACATCAGTTGTAAGTGCGCTGCTAACTCCTTCCTGTATGCAAGCTGATTTGAAGGTGTAATGAACCTTCCTGATAAGTTTTAGTGCCTTATGTTCAGAAGCTGAGTGCCAGCGACAGCTTGCAGCAGTAACCGACTCCTGGCTGTCCTGCCTGGGCTTCACCAGTCTGCCCCACTCAGACAGGCTGGGAAACAGGAGCACAGAGCCCCAGGGCCACGCGTGCTCCCTTTGCAAGCCAGGGAATGTAAAGACATCCATCCATGTCCACGCTGAGCGCGTTGTGTCCTCCTGGAAAGGTGTACATGCAGTGGTGTTGAGGTGGTGCTCCTGCACAGGTCGGGGTGCTGGGTGCGATGCAGGGTCACCACCAGCGTTCTTGGTAGAGCTTGCTTTCTTTGCAGTATCTGCAGCAGTTTACTGAGAAGTCTGAGGCAAGAAAAATGCTGAAAATAAATGGAAGTAAGGGATCTTAGATAACAGGAACTGACACTTATTACATGGGAAGACCTTGCAGGATATTCTGGAGATGGTGATACTGAATTAGTCTCTTTCTTTGAAAGTCATTTGCACAGTTTGCACTGAGTGCGTGTTTGCCTTCAATGCTCGTGAATTTCTTGATATATGCTGTCATCTCTTTCATTCTAAACCAGAACAGCTTCAGTGGAAGTTGATGAATTATTTCTTTGTTGGAACAAATTTTTATCTTTTTGTCTTGGACTTGAGAATGTGTGTCTTCGTGTTCCCATGGTTGGTTTGTTTTCCAAAGTAACTTCATTCTGCGACGCTGAGATCTCTATGTACTTAATGTAACTTCTTAGGGAGGTTCTGAAAATGTCGAGTCATTGTTCATATCTCTTACACAAATACATTATCTTCTCTCTTACTGATCAGGAATACATTTTTTATTAAAACTTTTTCCTTTTCTCTGTCCAACAGAATCTGTCTATGATCTTCTCCCAAAGGAGCTGCAGTTACCACCTTCCAGAGAAACATCTGTAGCATCCATGAGCCAAACAAGTGGTGGTGAGGCAGGTTCGCCTCCTCCAGCTGTAGTTGCTGCTGGTAAGCATTCTCATTTATTCTGTTGCTTTGTTAAGGTTTGTAACGTTCTGGCCAACATGAACAGTGCTGGCAAAGTTTTGGTTGTAAAAGGCTTGTGGAGAAGTTTTGTGAAAACGTAGAAAATATAATCTAACAAACGAGGTGATTTAAGTAATGAAGTGTGCTATGTCAGTAGTTGCTGTATTTCACATACAGTTTATCTATAGGCGATGTTATTGATTTTCCTATTCTGCTATTACTCAGAACAGCCCTCAGCTCCTGGCATGCACTCTGTCCTTAGAGGTATTCCTACCTGTTTGAGTCCAAATGCTGACAGCTATGAATTCTGGTGAGGATTAAAAAAAAAAAGGAATGGAGATTGTTTGGGGCCATGGGAGTTCTCAGGCTATAGGGAGGAAGAAAGGTTGTGTTTTCTTTTCAGAGGCCTGATGAGGAAGCTTAGTATTTGAACTCCATTCTGACATAGCTCTCTAGTGTAACGTATTATAAAATGCCCAAATGCATGAGAACGTGAAATATTAGGACAGCACATTTATAGCACTGATAGGTTACTTCTTTTTCTAACTGTCAGCACGTAAAAATGAGGCACGACCTTTTTATCTTTTTCTTCTCTAGCTACTCCCATGTTTTAGACTTCAATCTAAAGACTCTGTCATTGGTCTTCATTAAAAATAAGGTCAGCATTTAAGGGCAAAGTTCTCATTTGTGAGGTTAGTCTTAGTGCTGGTTTGCATCTGGAATTCTTGTCAGTAACCGCTATAGATTACTGAACATCTGTGCAATGAGGAAAAAGGGGGAAAATGATAAATTTCATCACTGGATGAGGGCTGGTTGTTTGTTTTTCATAATTTGATCCCCACATCCATTACAGAGTCATGTTCCAATTTCCTGTTTGGCCTTAAGTTACCTGAGGAAAAATGTGTGTGTGTAAGATGAGGATTCTGATAGCTGCTTTAGTCTTTTTTCTCTCTACAAGTTCATATGCATTAAGTATTTATATGATAACGTTTACCACATTTGCATGGCACGGGAATCTTGATGAGAAATTAAAGTGATTGTAGACTTGTTGGAAAAACTTTACAGCACTGCTCACCTGTCATGTTTCGCCAGACTTCTTCAGAGAGAACCTGTGGATTTAACTGTGCACAGTGGAACTGCAGTAATCGCATTGAAGAAAAATATGTTTTTATTAATTATCTTGAACGAATTTGTTATTTTTGTAGCAGTTATTCAAAAATAATCTGGGCATATATTTCTAAAATCAAGGTGCTTAAAGATCAGTTTTGTTCAAAGATACAGCAGCGACCAAATCCTGTAGCGACACAGATCTTAACAAAAAACCCACGAACCCTGTTACACTCTAAATCCACAGACAGACACAAACTGCTAATTAATTCTGTTTCTAACAGAGAAATCTTAAACACTTGAGGTGAATGGAACTAAAGGTCTGTTTCCTTCAGGTATTTAGTGTCTGCTAACAGCCAGTCCAGCTCCTCTAAAAAAGCCAAGAACGTGTTAGCTATCTTGGGGTTAAACTGCAGCAAGATTTTATTCAATGAAAAACTGCAAAGAATACTGTGGAGATTTATTTGCAAACACTGAAAGGAGGACATTTACTCATTCAATTAAGAACACTTCTCAATGTCAGAGGTATAGAAGTTTCACAAAGACTTTGAGCTGATCCCACACAGAAGAGGTTTTCATCCGAGTGCTGCTGAGGGACCTGCTTCAGCCAAGAGCCGGGGCTGCACAGTGCCTTTGGTGGCACGAGGGGAGGAGTAAGATGAGGAGGAAGGAGCAGAGAGAAAAGGTGGCTGTCGCTTTGTGGTAGTTTACACTGTTTGCTGAGCTCTGGCTCTGGAGGCCTTCCATCAGTGTTGTGACGAGACAGTTAAGTATCTGAGTGCCATTCAGCTTTGGATCGGAAGCACCAAGTACAAGAAACTACAGTCCTCCTCGTTGCTGGGAAAAAAAATTAAGAAAACAGAGCAGAGACTGGTTTTGTTTTCATTGGTTATGTCACTTTCCACCACAGTGAGGACAAGAACAATTGAATCTTGCTCTTTTCTAAACATATGATTGTGATGACCAGGATAATTCCACAGCCGGTTGTGCTGCGTGCACATGTGAGCAGAGATAAGCCCCAGCCCAAAGCAGCGTGGCTGCTGCCTTTAAAGGCCTCCGCGCACACTCAGCCTCAGAATTCTGGCCACTGAATGTTACCGGATATTTTTAAGGTGTTAATGTGTTTTCTGTCCTCCACCGTGTCGTGATAAGTGCATCTTAGATAGCTGTTTACTTGGAGGCGGGTCTGTGGACGATGATCCAAAATATAGGCACAGCACCGAGCTGAAAGGACGGCCCTAGCTCCTTCTCCTCCTGTCAGGAGGAAGGGGAAAGTGCTCCATGTGCATCATGGATGGAGTGGTGCTTGGTAATTGCTGTAAGTCTGATGCCAAGTCTCATTCCTCTTTGAAGCTGGGGACAAATTTTAGGAACAGAGAAAGCACGTGTGCCAAAGTTGTAGGTGAAGGAAGAAGTAAGAAAGGGGAGCTTACACTTTCCTCAGTCACATCACAGTCAGTCCCCCCTCCCCCAGATTCCTGCTGGTGCTGCCTGGCTTTGGTTCCTCCTCCAAGCTGCTTTGAGCTCAGCTCTTCTGAGGCAGCGCTGGGGCCTGTAGCTGCCCTGGAGCCGTGCACTGCCCAGCGTTCAGCTGCCTTTGGAATGCCAGGAGTGCTTTTGCTTTTCGGTGGGGTCATCTGTGTGTTTCTTCTGCAGCCAAACCTCATCTTTCTCAGCAGAATCGAGCACAGGTGTTTCAGCTGCACTCTTGCCATAGGTGTGCCACGTTTCTACATACATGGGTATATTGGGTCCTGCTGCTTTCACTAATTGCTTTATGACTGCTATAGTGTCTTTGAATTACTACTGCATTACCAAGCCCTGCCTCTTGTTATAATGAGAAGTCTAGCTGGGCTTTAATTTCTTAACAGGAAAGAAGAAGGAAATCAGCCTGGGCTTTATATATGTCTGTCTGTACAGGAAAGCATGAGTCTAAAATTTACTGTTAAACACCACAATTGGCTCTCGTTTGTGTATTTCATGTCCTTAATAGCATTTTCAGGTAGTTGCCACTGTACAGATGATAGGATGAGGAGGAGAAATGTCTTCGGCTTGTAGCATAGACCTGTTTGTTCTGAAATCTTTCCCTGCTTAGTGCCTCTCTGTTGTCATTTTTGTCAGCCCTTGTTCGAAAACTTCGCTGTTTTTTGGAAGTGACAGAGGAATGATGATTAGTCTCCATAGTGCTGTAGGTTATTCTCATTTATCTCTTTTCAAACCAGGCCTTCTTTTAAGAAGTCCTGCTAGCACACTGTGTGGAAATCTATCACAGATGTCCTTTTGATAATGAGAGGATTGTGCCGTCAGGAACGGTCCTATGGGATGAAAGTTTTTTACTACTCCTGTAGTAGGTAATATAGTTTGTTCTCTGCTTCACAAAACACAGCAAGGCAGTACATGCCTGAAACTCAGCTTGCTCAAGGCTTTTCTGTCAGGCACTATTCTGGGGGATTTTGTTCCATGAAAGTATTGTGATGGAGGTAGATCTGTTGCTGCAGTGAACAACTTGGTTTTTTTGGAGGAGCAGGATGGTTTTAGCTGCGATGACCTTTCAGGGACAGACTTCTAGTTTTTCCATTTTGAAATTTGTCTTGCAATTTACAGAACAGCTTTACAAGTACTAAAATGGAATGTTGCTGATTGGATTCATTAACTTGTTAATAAATGTGTATCTGATATTCGTTAATCTAGACAAAAGTGCTATTACCCACTCTCTCAATAACGATCAGGCAAGTATAATTTAATAGAACTCTAGGATTTTGAGCTGCTATGTTCACAACCTTAGCTGCTATCTCAAGCTTCTAAGTCTGTTAGACCTCTGGAAAGCAGAAAGGAGAGAAGGGATCTGATTTTTACCCCTATAAAGCATTCTCTGGCTTGTTATTTGCATCGCAGGTGTCTTTGTTCAGGGCATAGGATTTTGCCTGGTATGCAGTACCATAAATACATTGAATGTGAATCATTGTGCAGTCTCTTGAAGTACATGAAGGTGTCATGCTGAGAGATGTTACTGTAAGCTGTGCCTGGAGATGTCTTGCATGAAAGAAGCGTGGCTGAAGCTTTACCAATGCCTTCTGCACAGTGTTAGGCTCAGGCTGTAAGGAGGGATGCTTGATTCTTTTCACTTGCTTGTAGAGGTTGACCAGTTTTTTCCTGTTGGTCAAGATGTACTGAGGAAGTGCTTCAGTGCTTAAAATACCAACTGCTAATTTCAGTCCTTCCTCAAAGGTGTCTTTCTCGTTAGTAGATCAGTTCCTTGTTCTTGTCTTTTGGGTTTGGTTCAAGTATTTCCAGCCGTGTACTTTAAACAAGCACTGCATATTCATTCTTTATTTCCAGAGACAGGAATGTTCAAACCTTCACAGCCCTCGTTGAGAAAACTGTTCCATCTTCTTATCATCTGCTCCTTCTTGCTGTAATGGAGTTCGGAAGGAGCTTCTTCAGCTACTTGATGCTCTCTTATGCTGCTGTGCATTTACCACGGAGGCCAATATATCCTTCTGTATTTTCGTACTGCTCCTCAGGGTAGTGTTTTCTTTCCTGCATCGTGTCACTGTGGCAGGTTTGAGTTCTCATCTGAAACTGAATTCCCCACAAGGAGTGGTGGTGGTGTAAGAAGAGGAACGGATTTTTGTTTTGCCATTGAGATGTGTGTACTGAACTCTTTTGTATCTTCATGTTTAGATACAGTTTATCTGTTACCTATTGAATTTTTCTGCCTCCCATGTTTCTTATGCTTACATCCTAGAGGTTTATGTTCGGAATGACAAAATTTTACCTTTCTGTGTCAATCTTATACTCCTCTTTAAATAAAGGGAGAAGCTACTTGTCCCCAACAGGAGTAATTCAGCTTTTTGGATCAAAGAGCTGTTATCTTGCTTTAAGCATTTCTGGTCATTTTAATTATGAAAATAAAGCTTTGCTTCTCAGATGCTACTGTAGCAAAATAGATAAATATTTGGATTACCTGTGGGCAGACACTGAGTGCTAAGGATATGGGTCATTTTCCCCTGCAAAGATAAGGCTTTTTGCATCATTTCCAAACTGGAGATTCTAATACTTCAAAATGAAGATTTGTTTTATTTTTGAATAGTCAGTCGAGCTTCTTAATTTAGATTTTTATTGAAAATGTTTTCTCACTTTGTCATCCTTCCTGGTGTCAGTAGTCAGTTTTTCCTGTTGATTCAGAAATAATTGCCAGAAATTTCAAAGAATTTCAAAGAGATCAGTGCCACTACTGGGCTTATGACTGCACGCTGTAAACAAATTATCAGAAAAAGAAAGCTGCTTCTTTGTAGTTGATCTCCAACGTCTGTAAAAACTTCCATTTCTTTGTAGGCTTTTCCCTTCCCTTCCCACCGCTCCCAGCTGAGGTGCCTTCCTGTAGCCCCCAGGAGGATGCCTTCAGGGATGTCTGTCCACGCTGTGCTTCTTTCAGTTGTGGCAAGCACTTCTTTCTTGCAGGATGAGACCAAGGCAGGTGCTCTAGAAACACATCTTTGCTGCGGTAGCAGAGCAGCACAGGACGCTCACTTGGCAGCACTGAGGCTTTGAGCTGTGCCCTGCGGGCTGTGGGTCCCTCAGGGCAGACTGCTGAGTGTCTGTGCCCAGGAGACGCCAAAGGAGAAGATTCTTGCCTTATGGAAACCAGTTGGGTGCTCTCTAGCTTCAGTGACAGCAGTGTAGCTGTGTGGGCTGGTCAGTGCACTGAGCGCACGTCTGCCACACCGCGTGGAGCAGAGCTCTCTGATAACTGCATGTAAAGGATCACGGAGACTTGTTCTAGATCTTTTTTTCTAAATTTGCTTTGTTTTCAGTTTTCCCAAATCTTACACAGCCAACAAATCCCACTTTTCCAGTGCTGCCCAGTCAGACACAAACTGCTTCTACCATTCTGAGAGATTTTTGACGACAAACTCTTGCATTAAATGGCTCTCGTTCTTACATCAAAAAAGCTTGAGGATCGCTTGTTCCTCAATTAATAATGGATAACCGAGTCAGAGAAGGTAAAAAGAGAGCATCCTCAGTGTACTCTAATTCAGGCACTTGCTGTAAGAGCCTTGAAGACTTCCTGAAGGCCAAGAGGAATTCCTAATTCGTTGGGAAAAAACCAACCGTGGACCTAAAGAACGAAAGAGGCAGATTCTTAACTTGAGAGGCGCTTTGTGGGACCCACGATGTGCTGTGCAGGCCTGTCTTCGGGCCACAGGGAGTTGAGGGGAGCTTGGAGAGCAGCTGAGGGCCTGGAGTTCTGCCTTGCCTGGCAGGAGCTGAGCTGGGCCTGAGCCACTAACAACAGTGCTGCTGGGATGCCCAAACTGGAGTGTGAATGTAATGGTGGATGTCACTGATAATGAAAGCTGATTGATTGATGTATTTACCCAAAGTATAATGCACTGCTTGGTTCAGCATGTGAATGTAAGGGGAATTTACACTGTTGGGCTTAACGTAAATTAAATTAACCTACTTATCTTGAATCTGAGTGTTTTTTAATAACTGGTGAATTGGATTGCTTTATTATATTTGCTGGGATGCTAGTTTTTTTTCTCTATTAATACACTTAACTTGCATTCTAGCTTCGCCATTCAGAGACAGGCATCGAGTGGTGGGTTGTGTGACAGTGTCTGTCAATAGTGAAGACAAATAGTGCCAGAGACACTTAACCCATCCAATCTCACCCAGGGTATAGGTCGGTCTTGTTTTCAGACTTCTTCATAAGTCTCTTTTCTTTCTTTCCTTTTCTTCTTTTTTCCTTTTTTTCCTTTTTTTATTTTCCTTTTTTTTTTTTTTTTTGTTTTTGTTTCTAAATAGTGGGTTAATACTGATTTGAAACTAAACTCTTTTTGGAAAAGTTGTTGACTTTACATCAGTAATACAAGAACAAGAAAAGTAGAAACCCAAGTTTGGCATGCGAGGTATCGAAAGCAGGTTTGCAGCCACTTTGCAAGTTCTGTTTTTTACCTGAAAGCCTTTGGCAACAAAAGGGTTGATGCTGGAAATTTTGCACATAGTATCCTTGTTTTTGGACTGACACTTCCTCCAGTGTTAGGTAGTTCTATGAATAAACAAGCCTTACAAAAACATGACATGTTAGATAAATTAACAAATTTAATAAAAGAGTATACTTTGCACATTAAACTTAGACGTGACCCTAACCTCATTCTATGTGAGGAGTTTTCATGTCTGTGCTTAATTGTTTTCTGGAATACAATAGTGGATCACATGGGATGCAGGCTAGAAAAAGGTGGGTCCTTTAATGGCTCTGTGCTTGTCCTGGCTGTTCACGTACAGGTGGCAGAAACACTTCTAGAAACAAAAATATCTCCTCTGGAGCTTCCAGGCTGAGAAATGATTTGCGTTGCACTCTAACCATGATGGAAGGAAAAGGTGTCATTAAGGCACTTCGTTCTGGAAGGTTTGGTAACCCTTGTATTGGATGCTATCTGTAGATTGGGCTGAACAAGGATTTCAGGGTTGGCTTCTGGCTCCACGTGAATTTTATCCAAAGACAAGTCTCCTCAATGCCAAGAAGTGATTTTTTTTTATTTTTTTCTCCCTTTCAGACATTTTTTAAAAGGCTGAATGCCTTGTTTGACTTCCCAAGATAATAAGATATAGAAATATATGCCATTGCCTTAGCTGGCAATTCAGGAGGTAATACATTTTCTTTTACAATAGCTTGTTATGGAAAAGAAAAAGACTGCGCTGATCTGCTCATGGGGATGCTCTTTGCTACATGTTCCCTTACTCTCTGATATTTAACAAGCCTGTGATTTTTAGCAGCATGCATTTGTGCCACATGCGTGTTGCATCCCTTCTTTCACTGCCTGCTTTTTGATTTCAGACAGAACTTGAATTATTCAGTCTCTTGGTTGTGAATATGATTTTGTTGGCTTCCCCAAAGTCAGGTAAATGTTTGGGACCAGTAGGCCCCTATTTTAGGCTTTCTGGAAAGCAGATGCAAAATGGAACAACTCAAATTGCTTTGAAATTTAGTCCTTCTAGGAGCAGTGCAGAGTTACGGGTTGTCTTTACTTGCATTCTGAGCTCTGGCACTAATCAGTTTAGTAGCTCTTGATTCCTTTCTGCCTTTCATTTACATGTTTCAGAATTATTGATTGGTGTACAAGTTCTGCTGTCCAGAACAGAAGCTCAAGCTCCTTCCGTTGAACTGTTTGATATCACTTTACCTGAGAGAAAAAAAACAAACATGTAAGACAAATTCTGGACTATTTCAGCTGTCTCACGTGGCATGGAGATGGCAGTCAGTAGCTTCAGGAGGTTTAGTGCCAGCAGTGCTCGAGGTTGCTCTAACGTGGCAGTAGTTCTCTCTCACACTCTATTAATTCAAGACCAAGCCTTGTGAAGCTGGTGCATGTTTCATTTACAGTACTGTGGCCTCGTACTTGCCATAATGTGCACTTGGCTTCTATTCCGTGTTGTTGCTCTGAAAGCAATTTTTACTTTGAAAGTATGTTAAAATATTATACTCAGTCTTAAATTTCCAGATGTGCATGCTCGTTGAAACTACATGTTTGTCATTGCAAGCACTGTTAAACTGCAAGTGAAAGAGCCTCCTGTAACTATTTCCTACTGTGTCCAAGGAAAGTAAAGCTCAAATAAAAGAAATGCTTGAACTGGGCAAGGCGTGTTTGTTTCCACTGTCACCTGAGCGACCGCTGACCAGGTATAGCTGTCAGACTGAGTGCCTGATGGTTGTATTTTGTTTGTTCTCTGCATACTGGGGAAAGCTTCCTTCCTTAAAAAGTGGAAGTGCAAAATGTTCACACCTCACCAAGCAGTGCCAGGCGAGACTGAATGACCACAAACTGTAGGAGAAGTTGTTTTCTGAATGTAGCATATTCAACCAAGAGACCCCCGTGGGTGTCAGATACGCATGTGTAGTCACAGGCTTCAGAATAAACTAATGTAACAGAGGGAGCCACGTGAAAGATGCAATATTGTGTTTGTTGTAGTAACTTTTGTGGATTCTTAGTTGGTTGATCTCATTTATTTGTTTACTGGCTCAAAGGAAAATGAGTCGGCTAAAGGCCTGCCTGTGAGAAAAAGCAAATACTGACAACTGAACACAGTTTGTATAACTTAAAATGTTCATAGAATTACTAATTCATCCCCCAAACGTATTTTAAATTTTGGCTATTCTAACATAGCTGGCTTGTTTAATTGGCTTCGGTATTTGTCATTCCTTCTGACATGTTTTAGCTGTTCCAGTAGGGACAGCGCTGGCCTGTACATGCTTTTACACGTGCATGTTTCTGGATGGTAGTGGCATTCATTTGAGAATATGGATGGCTGAAGACAGAGGTTTTCTTGCCATTATTTTTCATCTCGATGCTTATGTGTACATAATTTAATTTTATTGGTGCACTGGGATGTGTCTGACACATGGAGGAGAATATAACCAATGTGTGAAGGACATTTTGTTTCTTTCCTTCCTTCCTCAGGGCGAAACACATGCACTCAAACACATACATGTTTTTTAACTTTAGGAAAAAAAGATGGAGAAGAAACTGCATTGGGAACTTGGCAGGAATAACTGTAGTAACTTAAATGTTTCTAACTGCTGCATCCTAAAGTAATGAAAGTGTTAGCAGCTAGTTTAGCTTCATAGTGAAAAGTATTTCGTTTAGTGATTTAAAAAAAATTCTTTAAGAAACTGAAGGCAAAATGCAGCTTGCATTTCTGGATTTACAGTGAGGGGCTCAGCGCAACGCAGGGCTGTGAGTGAAGTGTGACAGATGTCCCCACAGGCCTTCCAAAAAGGCCCTTCCAGAACTTCTCCAGTACTTATTGCAAAAGAAGCCATCCTTGGTATCAAGCTCCGTATAGAGGAGCAAAAGCCTTTTGATCCTAGAGCCCTGCTGCCTGGTTCAGTGCTCTAATTATTTAATCCGTGGAACCATGGAATGTCCTGAGTTGGAAGGGACCCACGGGGAACACTGAGCCCAATTCCTGGCTCCGCACAGCAGCACCTGGAAATCAAACCACGTTTCCAAAAGCATTTGTCAAAGTCTTTGTGAGGGGCAGGAAAGCCTGAGCTCTGCATACGCTGCATCGTAACACGCTGTGCTCAGCTTCAGCTGTTTAAAAAGAGCAGAAGCCATTTTTTACATAGGGGAGATGCTGCTGTTCAGCAGCCCGGCCCAGCATCGCTGCGCTCCGCGTGTTCTGTTTGCAAACACAGCACGTATTTCTGTTTCCTTGAGTGCATAAAGGATGAATAGAAACTAATTCTATTTTAACAAAACAAAGGAAGCATCACAAATAGCAACAATCTCAACTCAAAGTGGCTGCAAATCAGCTTCTAAATATTGTCACTGAAATTAATATCTGGATTTAATAGTTCTTGCCAATCCTATAAATGTTTTTGAAAAAAAGCATTGCATTAATGCATGATATATAAAGGATAAATTTGCCTTTAAATTGGAATGCAGTTCAAAGTGACTGAATTCTCCAATTTCAGCCGCTATATTTGCCAAAGAACAAACTGGGAAATGGAACTGGTATCATTCATCCGCTCCTGCTTCTCTGGGAGATTTGAGGAAGGGACTCCCTGTGTGAATAAAAGCAGAATTGATTTGTTGTGCTCCGTAACAACCACTGCATTTCACTTGACTCCAATGTGAAATACCTTCGATTTACTTTCAATTTTATTTAGCACAGAGAAGCTGTAAGAAACCAATGCCTTTTTAAAAAGACTTCCTCATCAATCATGGATGGCCCATGTAAATAACAAGGAGACTGTAGGAAGATTTTCTGACTTCTGCTGCTAATGAAGTATATATTGTAGTTGAATGTAATTTGTATGCTACTCTTAAATGGCTTACCCTGGATAAAATAGTTCAATTACGTTTAAGCCTTTTCAGAAATAATTTGGATTTAAAAAAAGTCTCGAGAAAAAGTCTAATGTCCCATCATAACAGGCATCGCCTGTGCTGCAGCAGTACCTGGCTGACCAAACACACTGTTTTAGCAACAACTGATTGCAAAATTGATGATTTCTAAAGTCTGTGTTCACTGTGTGAGGTGTAGTTAGCAGGGCAGAAATAAAGAAAACAGCATCTCCTCCCTAGGGACTTAAAATCTGGATAAAAAATCCAGTTGTTCCTTAGTGAGCTACAGCTGGCTGAAATCAGTACCTGTGTCCTTCCTGCTGCCTCCTCTCAAAGATGTCAGCTTGCATTCTCAGCTGATCTGCCCATTAACGTTCTTCAGTGGAAATGATTGCACTGCTCTCCAGACACCTTCAGGGTTCTGTTCTGATCTATTTGCTGCCCTTCGTATTTCTACAACTGCTCCATTTGTGGGGCATCCGGAGGAGTCACGATCATGCTGCTTAAAGTGCCCTGCTGAACGTGAATTTGTTGGAGGACTCTCCCAAGCTGTCTCTGTATGTAGGGAATTCACCTAATGAAGTCTGATAGAAGTCTAATGCGGGACTTGAGACTGAAGGAGTCAAACTACAGAAATTTCACATTGTCTTAAGTCAATATGGCACTGGTCCAGATCCCTCATCCCTGCTTTGAACCTGCAAAATGAACAGCTGTCGTAGCGACTGATACCAGTTCCATTTTGCCTACCAACTCAGTTGATTTTATATTTTATTTCTCATTTATGATGGAATAATCAGCAGCTCTTTTCTCATTTATTTTCTCATATTTTTATTCCAGGATTTGCCTCTGAAGCAGGGAGTGTCTGCATTAAAAATGACCTGTAGTTCTCTGCTTCATAGGTTAGAAACTTATTTTAATATTTTGTGGCTAAGCACAGTCCCGTCTTTTTCAAAAAATAAAATAAAATCCATCGATAAATGGTTTAATTGGCATCGAATGTGGATTATAAGCATTTTGCATTGGGGCTTCCATTATTTTAGATGAAATGGCTTATACACAAATAATCAGTCCAGCTGAGGCAATGAAAGCTCTGTTTACTTGCAGCCATTTTTTCTGAATTAACTGTAAGTTTTAAGAGAAGTCGACTGCGGCACAATGCGTTAAGTCTGATTTGGACATTTCCAAAGTACCGTATTGGCGAGGCTTCACCGCTTTGAACGCTTACAGTCCAAAGCTTACCAAATTCCAAATATTTGTTGGGGGAAAGAAATCCGTTCATAAATCACTTTACTTCAATGGGACTGCTATAGCCAGCACACACACAGAACCATGTGTCTTGTATTTACTTCTGAATTGTACACCGCAGATGCTTCTTCAGCTCCTTCCTCTTCCTCCATGGGCGGTGCTTGCAGCTCCTTTACCACCTCTTCCAGTCCTACCATTTACTCTACCTCAGTCACCGACAGCAAGGCTATGCAAGTGGAGAGCTGCTCCTCAGCCGTGGGGGTAAGTAACCGAGGGGTAAGTGAAAAGCAGTTAACCAGTAACACGGTCCAGCAGCAGCAGTCAACGCCGAAGAGACACACAGTGCTGTACATCTCGCCACCACCTGAGGACTTGCTGGACAACAGTCGGATGTCCTGCCAGGATGAGGGGTGTGGATTGGAATCAGAACAGAGCTGCAGTATGTGGATGGAGGATTCACCCTCCAACTTCAGTAACATGAGTACCAGTTCCTACAATGATAACACTGAGGTGCCACGTAAATCACGCAAACGAAATCCAAAGCAGAGGCCAGGGATCAAACGCCGAGATTGCGAAGAGTCCAACATGGATATCTTTGATGCCGACAGTGCCAAAGCGCCTCACTATGTCCTTTCTCAGCTCAGCACGGACAGCAAAGGCAACTCAAAAGCAGGAAATGGGTTGGTATCTGCATTTTTTTTTTAAAGTTCTATCACCATATGCAAAACCAAACTAATAAAACTCCCTTCCCATCAACCTTCTACGCAGGTTCTCACATAAATTCCTTCCCTTCTCTGCCATTCCCTTTGGCATCCTAGCCCGTGATAAAGTCTCACTAGACTTTAGCTGCTTAAACATTAAAGATTAACAATCTTTAAATAAAGGTAAAGCTAAAGTTTGTCACAACAATTGGAGGAGCACTGATGCACTCGTCTGTATTGTTGTTTACGCAAGATTCCTAAAAGTTTGCACAATCCCATTTATAAAATGACCATGAAAATGTTATTGTGTGTAAAAACAAAGGCAGAAGTGGACCGGACGCACCCTAAACATTACTGCTTCTGCAGTATTTTATGTGAGGATTTCAGCCTGTGCACTTTACCTTCTTGTTCGTCTCTTTCTCTATTTTCAAAGAGAGAGAGTGATAGAAGTGAATGGCTTGTAAAGACTTCTCATCATTTGAATTAGCATAGCCTTTTTTAATTAAAATGTTAAGATTCTATGGTGAACTCAATTTTTTTTACTTGTGAATTCACTTCTGTATTTGATTTTTCAGAAATAAATCTCTAATCCTGTTTCTCTCTGTGCTTCTGGGTTGTGTGCATGTGTGTGTCTGTATGTGGGCACGCCTGGGTGGTGGTCTCTCATCTCTCCCACTTCACACTGTTCATTAAGTGCATTTCAGTAGTTGCTTAAAGAAGAAATATCCATCAGCTTAGTGTGTTGATTATATATATATATTTTTTTATCTTGTGGCTTTTTTTAGTACTCTTAAGATGGTCGGGTGGAAAGATTTGATTATTTTCTTTTGTTTTTTTGGGGGAGGAGTTATTTATTTTGTTTCTGTTCTTATGTGTGTGCTTGCAGTGTGTTCTAATGTTCATCACAGTCATGGTGAATATTAAAGTTTGACTGATGGGAAAGATTATGATCTTCTCATATTCCAAAGGGAAAGAGCCTGGAGTCTGTATTCCCAGGGTCACTGCAGTTCCATACTTAAAATTTCACTGTGAGAAAGTGAGTCTGAGAAACTCTCCAGAGTGCGCTGCTGCTGCTTCCCGCGCTAGGGGCATCATTGGGCACAGGAGCCAGCCGTAACCAGGAGCTGCTGCTGTCAGCCGCTGCTCTCCTCAAACCTTTGGCACAGCAGCTGTGCAGAGATCATTTCGGTGCCTGTGACAAATGCTTTAAGCTTGTCTCATGCTGCTCAGCATCTCTTATTTTGGCAACTGAAAATTATAATGAAATAAAACATTAGTTCTTGCTAGAACCTAGGAAGCAAATTAGCGTGGTTACTTGGAACAAGGAAGCTGCTGCCACCGAGCACAAAGGAGGTCATTCAGTCAGTTACAAAGGGAAGAAACTATCAGGAGGCAAAAACTGTGTGACTCGTGGCAAAAAGAGGAGACGTGGTAAACTCAGGAACAATATGTGAGATTTCAATCCAAAGCATCACAAGAGTATAGTATTCCCTAAAACGTTAGGGGCTAAGCAGTGAGCATTTCAGTACTTGCATCAGTATCCTGTGAACAAGGGGTTGGACAAGCATAAATCTTCAGTGCCTCACACAGGCTAGATTAAACAAGCAAAAATCTCACGTAACAGAACTCTCCTTTTAAACAAGAGCTTTGCAATAAGTAATAGCTACGATACTGAGAAAGTTAATTCTGTAGTTAGAGAATGCAGTTTTAGCATGACAAATGTAGGTCACAGAAGTGGCTCTTAAAACTGTCTGTAAAACTTTCCATCCTGATGGGGTTCAGCCAAAGAAGGTCATTTACGTTGGGCCTGAAGAAAAAAGCCAGGAAAGAACATTTGCTGATTTGTGAAGTGGAAATAGAGTTTGTCTCAAAAGAGACTTCAGTTTGCCTTTCAGATGTAGAAAAAAGAATTTATTCCTATGGAAACTCTTAGAATTTCTGAAAGCCTTTTGAAAATAGATAAGTTAAGAGTGATTTAGCACAAAGACTCTCAGATTTCAGTCATGCTTGGTCTCGCTTTCACTTTCAGGTCTTCACTTGGAACAACCATGATGCAAGTGCAGGACCAGACAAACGTTAACTCCTGAAATCTATTTTAATAGAATCATGGGTTTTGCCATTTGTATTTTAGAAAAGAAGTGCTAGCTTTGAGGAGACATTGTCTGGTAACAATTAAGCTAATAAATAAAGGTGTGTGTGTGTGAAATATTATTTTTACTACTTGTCTATGCATGGCTACTAGTATTATAAGTCAACTAAATTAAAAGGATGTGTAAATGATATATCCTGATAATTTGACAAGTAAGAGCACTGAGAAATTCTGGTGAAATCTTTAAAATTACTTCCATGTTCATCATCTAATCTTACTGAAAATAATTCTCTCCTAAAGCTTCTTGAGGGAAGACTTTCCAAGTAATTTTTAGGCAGCATCCCTTCGTGTAAATGCTGCAAGGTGTGAAATGTTAGTATGCTGACAACGAAGGTAACTTGGTTTTAAGAGCAAAGTGCTTCCAGGAAAACCTGATGATGTGCTGGAGTTGCCAATGAGTCAATGTCACACTGGTAGAACCTTGTATTTTTGATATGAAAAGTGAATTTCATTTTAATGGCTGCCTCTCTGACTCTTCCCTTCAAAATTCTCTGTACAGTCTTCTGCATTAATTTATTTACCTGGAATTCTGAAGTGCAACAAGGTCAGCATAAGCAATCTGTGTGCTGCATTCACTGCAGTGAAGCGGGTCCAGGCGGAGGCCAAGGCAGCACCCTTTGTGCTCCTTTTCACATCCCCTATGGGAGCTGAACTTCAGCTGTGTAATTTGAAGTTCTGAATGAGAAAAAAGACATTGAGTGACAGTTACTAAATGTATTCCTTTTAATGACTGTGCGTTGGAGCAATGTCCTGACAGGAAGTACAGATAAATGATAATCTAACAAGCTTGAATTCAATTACTATTTATCCTGGCTTGTACAAAAGCAAAGAGCACAGTGCTGTTAACTACAGCGTTCTCAGCGTACCACAACTTTTGTATACACTACACTGAAGACACTTTGTCCCTTTTATGTTCCTACAGTAAGGACTGTTTTCACACAGCACTTCCCAGCAGCCTGACTTGCCTCTAGCTGTGCGCAGGACTCATGGCAGAAGGATGCTGCCATGTGGGCCTCCTTCCCTCCGGCTGTGGCTGCCTGCTGTGAGCTGCTGGCGCAGGCCTGATGGGGTCGGGGCAGCTGAGGAAGAAGGAGCAGTAGGTCTGGGACCCTGCCTCGAGCACAGTTAACCTCAGGAACAGAAAAAGTGAGGTTCAGGCCCAGCACAAACCTAGCAGCTCCCCGAGGTGCACTTAGCGCTCTGTGACGTGCATTGCAGACCTTTGGAAGTTTAGTGGAAGTTGCAGCGTGGCAGTGAGGGCTGTGGGGGCTCAGGGGACAGAGCCTCCCTCCCTGCACACACAGGAGGTCCTGCTGCAGGAGCTGTGCTCAGTGCGAGGCCTCATTGTGCACCAGCTGTAGGAAAGCTGTGATGTTCGTTAGCATGAGTCACCCAGCAGCTGGGAAGAGAGCACTACAGGCTGCTTTGGAGTCAGGTCCATGGCAAGCTCAAACAGTGGGTGAAGACAGCAGCAAAGCTCTCAGTACTGTTGAAGAGAAGGCGTTTCTCTCACCCTTCTCCCTCAGAAAAAAAGTCCTTGTTAAGTTACTTGTATGTTGTTCTTTGAAACAAGGTTCTGGTTTCTGACTTAAACAAGGTTCTGCTTTCTTCCGATTGATTAGCACTTAAAAATGCCTTTCTGGTAGTTTAAAGAAAAAATAATGACAGAATTGCATTCTGCATAACCTCATTGAGCTCTTTTTCTGTTCTGTCCCATTTGCTCTGGCGCATTTACATTTGTTAATGTTCAATAGGTTTATTGGACTTGATAATTATAAAAACCTCCTCTGTGTAAAATCAAGAGTTACCTTTCCTTATGCTTTAAAGTGAACAAAGAATTGGATCCCAAAAAGTTATGCTTTGGAGGGCTTCTTCATTCAGGTTTTAATTATGGAACTGATCTCAGCCAATACAGTACATCTTAACATGCACACCTGCAAAGAAACACTCTTTTGCATATACTGCAGCTTTACAATTTGTGCCATTACGTTGGAGCCTTTTACTACAACTAATTTGTTTTAAACATAAATTTATCAAGGTGTTTTAACAGAAACTAGCATTTGAGTTTGCATGGATATACAAGGTCAGGAGGAGACAGGCATGAGGCTGTTTTCCTATTTCAAGTATCATTTAACCTTAAATCCATTTAGTGTGTGTGTGTACCTATGCATATTTTTAACAGGAGTTAAATGGCTTATTCCAGTAATAATAGGCTGTATCAAGTACTATGAAAACAGCAGGTTATAAGCCTATTTGTTAATATAGTTTAATGCTAATTGCTTTTCCCTTCCTTTATGTTTACTCTTTGAAAAAGCAGTTCCTATTTGCACTGGATGGAAGAGGCAGGGAAGCACCATTGCTCTTCATCCTGCAGGTTTCCTTCTCTGTCAGAAGGAGAAATCTCTCAACTATGAATCCTCCGTCCATTAATGTACACATCTTACCTTTATAGCTTTTCTGTGATCTTTTGGAGCTGCTTTTAACATCTTTTTAACGGTCTGCTTTGACTTCTCAGAGCGTCGGAGAGCCAGAAAGGAGCTGGAGGGAAGAAGACCCCAATGTTGTGTGGTCAGTATCCAACCAAAAGTGAGGGGAAGGAGCTGAAGATAGTGGTGCAGCCGGAAACCCAGCACAGGGCTCGTTATCTGACTGAAGGCAGCCGAGGCTCAGTGAAAGACCGAACACAACAAGGTTTTCCAACTGTGAAGGTAGGCTGTTCAGGATTAGGTGATAAGAAAGTTCCTTTTCAAGGGATACTTGAGTAGGTGGGAGCTGGTTCAGTTCAGATAAGGCGTGGTCTATTCTTGAGGGTACAAAGGCTGAATTGAAAGGACATCTCCTTGCATCACAGCATTACAAGAGGTGGGAAATTTCACGTCAAGGCAACGATGCCTCATCTCTAATGCATGCTGTTAGGCTACAATCAAATGAACTGCATACAAATAGCAGAAAGTTGAAAAATTCAAAAGTAGGACAGCAAAATTCCATAACTGTTCAGTCGCTGCTGCTGGGTCATCATTATGTCTTACTGTTAAGAATGTAAAACAAAGCTTCATTCCAAAAAACACTTAAAGGTTGTGTGTTTTTTTAATAAGTATCAGGATCCACATAAGGATCTGTTAGAGGTCATCAAAGAGTTGCAGTGATCGCAGGATGATTGTCAGTGTGGGCAAATATGGAAAATGGGAAATATGGTACATGGCCTCCATGCATCCGTGGGAGAAGCGTGGGCAGCAGGCTCAGCAAGTAACCATAGCTGTTACCATACAGCATGGTAACTGTGGAGTCACATCCTGAGCACTTGGTTGAGCACCTGGGGAAAGGACCTGGTCAGCCCTGGGAGCACAGGTGAAGGCAGTTCACTTAAGTGATTGGAAGAGGTGGAGCCTGGCTGCATCTCTCTTAGACCTCATTTAAGGACCGACTGCCGCTGGGGAAGGAGCTCTGGTTGGAGGTCTGTCCTCTGTAGGTTTGTTTGTTTGTTTGTTTGTTTGTTTGTTTGTTTGTTTGTTTGTTTTTCCCCCTCCTTCCTGTGAGCTGAGATGTTCATGGGCAGGTGAGCGATTTTCCTTTGTAACACCATTCTGTTCAGATTAATCCCTTTGCTGCTGCATTCCTGTATGTCCTTTCACCCCGCTGACCTTTCTGATTGTTACACATAATGACAAGAAAAATGAAAGCTGTCTCCTCTGATACTTTTCTTTAGTTATTCCAGTTTAGGAAAGCAGCAATGCAGTTCTCTATACAAGCTAGTTTGTTAGGTCCACAAAAAAAAAGTTTGTAAGGCCTGCCTGGAAAACAAATTTGTGCTGTTTACAGGGTATTAAAATGCACTTGTCTTTAAAGATCAGTTCAGCATTGCAATCATCTCCAACACTTTGCTCCATCCTCTTTGGTAATATGGAAGTCCAGTAAAGTTTCATAAGAAAAGAATCCATTCATATACTCCTGTTGCTATGGCGATTCAGTGTTCGTTTATGTGGACTTTCTTAATAGGCCTTTGTTTGTCTGAATTTCCTCTTAATTCCTTTCCCAGTTACTCTTTAGCACCCGTCAGTGAAAATTTTCTGTTTGGAAGAGTCTCACATTACAGAATTCCTTGGAAGCTCAAGCTGATTTACCAGCAGGCAAACTAGTTCATACTCTGCACACAAAATTACTTTGAACAATGAAGCAAAAAAATCCATCAGTGACTTAGTCTAAAAACTGCATTTGTTGTATTCTCGAGAAACTTGCTTCTGTTAGAAAACATCACCTTTTAGTAAAGTTCTTGCTAAAGTACTTCATGGAAGCCATGGGCTTTTGAGCCCTTTGCTGTTAGCCTCATTGCATACATGTGAGCCTGTGATGGGCCACCTCCAGAAGTCTTTTGGCTTGGCCCATCTGTAGCATAGAACCAAGCTACCTGCTTTAAACTCGAGGCTCCATTTGGACGTGGGAGGCATACTGTGATCTTACAAGTGTTTGCTAATAGTTTTACAAGCCAGCTAAGAACTCCAAGACTTAAGTTTTCTGAGTCTGTCAGGAACTACTCTGAGAGATCCTCCAGGGCACTCTGCGCTCCTTTGCTGTCACCTTATGCGTAGTCAAAGAATATTAGGATGTTATAATCACAAAATAAACAAGAGAGTTAGGCAAAGTAGACTACGATAACAAAAGAGAATAAATAGAAGGCTTACCCTTACGCTGGGCTCACCCACAAAACTCCAGCAGAGATCCTTCCCCACTGGCAGCCAGCTCTTAAACAGCTCTAGGAGGGATGGAGCCTGGCTGCACGCCTTCCAGCAGCACAGCTGCATTGCCTTCGCCTGTGCTCCTGTGGCTGATCCAATGCTCGCCTCAGGTGATCCATCAGGGTTCAGGCTGTGACTCAGCAGTTCCCATACACCTTACTACTGCAGATTGAGCTTTATTCCCCTCTGCAAGTATCGACTGTGTTTCCAGACCTAGAACAAAATGTAATGTTGTCAACCAGAAATCCTGTAGCAACAATTACAACAACACTAATTGATCAGTTGAATCATGAGAATGTAAGCTGCTAGCTGGTTGATCTGCGTGCATGTACTGACCAACACGTTACCATATACCTCACAGTCAGCCACAGCAAGTTTCTTCTTAGTTAACTGGTGGATGTCATAGAATCATGTCAGTGCTGGTGGGGAGGAGACGAGGAAATTGTTAAAGATCAGGTGGGAGTGAGGGATCATTAGAGATGTAAGAGTTGGAGTTGGTTTAATTCCATGTGAAGGCGTATAGGATTCAAGCCGGTTTATATACATTTATATTCATTTCACCCGTGTGTTCTAACAGCAGAACTAAGGACATTAACCACCTATTTTTGGGAACCTGCTTTAGCAAGGGGGTTGGACTCAATTTCTTGAGGTCCCTTCCAACCCCTGCAGTTCTGTGATTTCATTTATGAACTAGATTTAAAATAAAATCATGCTTACCTTTGGTTTGTTTCCAGCAATGCTGGGAGTAGGTTCACTTCAAGTTCAGCTGCATGAAACGTTCCCTGTTTTGATTAAGACCTTGCTGGTCAGTTGAACTATCGGATCTGTGCTGCTGTGTTTCAGCTGGAAGGTCACAACGAGCCGGTGGTGCTGCAGGTGTTCGTGGGCAATGACTCCGGCCGAGTGAAACCGCATGGCTTCTACCAGGCCTGCCGAGTTACTGGGAGAAACACCACTCCCTGTAAGGAGGTGGATATCGAGGGCACCACTGTTATTGAGGTGGGACTGGACCCTAGCAACAATATGACACTGGCGTGAGTAGTTCCTATTAAAAAATAGATATACGTTTAACTTGTTTGTTTTCAGAGACTGATTTTCCTTTCTCCATTGGATTGCTTAGCAGTTAGAAGTATGAGCATCTCAGCACACGTCAGGCACTTAGTTAAAGCTACAAGCATAAGAGAAACATTTAAATCCTGTTCTCTGCTTATTATGCTTAATGTTTCATCTTTTTGTAGGAATTTTTCTGTGGACTTTGTTATATTAGAATTTCGTGGGCTGTTTAAAGAATAACCTGCACATTGAAGTTTCACGTGAACCATGAAGCTGTCACTGGCTCCACTGATACATCTTCAGTTAGCAACTATGAAACTGGTTATCAGAAGAGGAAAGGAGAATAGCAGGATCTTTAGTCCTCAGAAGGGCTGGGGCATTTAGACAAGGAGGTTAAACTGAGTTTTCTCTCCTCTGTGCTTGTTCCATTTCAGTCGTTCCTGTCAGGTGGTTCTTTATCATGAAAGCTGTTAAAATTGAATGCGTTCCTGTCTTTACAGACCTTGTCTGGTCAGATACAGGCAAAATCTTGGACATAGATGAATGATGCGTTTAAGCTGTGTGTGCTGCTGCTCAGGAGGAATGAACTCAGTCTGATGAATCGCTTGGCTTTTTTGTTTTGTATAACATTTTCCCATAAGTGAAAACTACCCCTTAAAATAATTAGTGATTGCCCTCAAGTGGTAATATAAAACCCTGTAAGCATAGAGATACTGGAAGAAATGAGTTATCAAGGAAGACAAGTTTTGTCTAGCTGTTTTCCCACAGGATACCTGAATGCCTCAGGAATCTTCCTGCTGTGTCAGTGGTGATGCTGTAGTTGTTGCTGAGGCAGTGGCAGTTGCCACTTGGCAATTGCTGTCTCTTCTCCCCTTCTCTCTACTCCCAAGCTGTTCCTCCTTGAGTGACATGCAGTGCAAAGATTTGCTGTACTCAAATTTGGTATCAGATGCCCTGTGTACTTTTTGGATGTAAGGCCTGAGATCCTGGTAGAGTCAGTTTTCTTTTCCTTAAAGCACATCAGGCTATGGGGTTTCTCTGTTTTTTTATTTGCTTATCTTTTCCTCTAAATCATTTTGCACCTGTCATGTCTTTATAGAAGCTGCATGGCATTGCTCTCTCTCACCCTCACACTTTCTATCTATTTATCCCAGGCCCACAGTTACTGCCCTAAACTTTTTGTTTTACTACTATCCAGAGTATTTTTCATTAATAACCCTGCAAGCCCAGATCTGGTCCAGGGAATAAAAGTATAAAGATCTCCGATGATAAATTGAATGCTTACCAGAATTACTTTCTCGTATGGCATTTTCTTTTCTATTCATAGTATTTTCATGTTCCTTCCTCCCATGATTTGGCATCTAGCTTAGGTAGGGATGAATTGAAAACCAGTATATAATGAGAAAGGTTATACAGAAATTTCCATGTGAATAATTAATAATATTTCAGTAGTTACTTCAATAATTGTGACTTTCTATGGCTTGCATAACAAGTGAAAGGATTTTAAAAGATGCTGAATTTATTAAACTCTCAACTGCTTCTTATTGTCAGGGTTGATTGCGTGGGAATACTGAAGCTGAGAAATGCTGATGTCGAAGCTAGAATTGGGATTGCTGGTTCCAAGAAAAAAAGCACACGTGCCAGGCTGGTATTTCGTGTTAACATCACTCGCAAAGATGGTTCCACATTGACTCTGCAGACACCTTCTTCCCCAATTCTGTGCAGTGAGTATCAAAGCAAAATGTTGGTGTTAGAGGACTCTGGGTTTTGGTGTGATTGAAGGAGTAAGGAAAAAAAACAACAAACCAAGAACAAAATGAAAGCTGTGTTAATCTGTGATTATTTCAGAATTGCTATGGCTTAAATCAAATGGGATGATCTTAATTTGGAGCAGGGTGTTAGTTAAATGACTGACCAATATTTAAAAGTAGTTACAAAATGGCTAATCTGTTATTAAATTCATTTTTGCCTTTTAAAAGATGAGAAATTCTGTCAGGCTTTCTTTGAAGGGATCGTATGACTTTAAAACAGGTTTTAATCTCTTTGTAGTGTCACTTCCATCTGCCAGCGTTCAGTGATGGAGATGACTTGTCATAAGTTGCTAAGCATGGCTCTGTACAGATGTGGGAGTTCATTGAGCCAGAGGGGGAATCTGTTCTGGTTCAGTGCAAGAATTAAACTTGTTACAGCTGTTTATTAAAATGCTCTGTTTAGCACTGAGAACAGATGGTTGCATTGACAGTTCAGGTTATGCTGACCAGTGTGGAAAATGAAATCGGAGTAGAGCTGCTGCTTCAGTTACAGGAAATTTTGCTCCTCTGTCGGAGAAAAGATAGGAAAAATAATGCATCATTTGCTGTTTTAAATTCTTTGTATTTCTTGATGAACAAGAGGATAGGAGAGCTTTTTCTCTGTACTTGGAATTTAGTATGATTATGCAAGTGCATTAGAAAGAGAGTGTCCAGCAGTGCGAGGGAGGTTCTCCTCCCCTCTGCTGTGCCCTGGGGAAGCCTCATGTGAGCACTGCAGCAGGACAAGGGGCAGTGAGCACAGATTGGAGCCCGAGGCGTTCCGTCTGAACAGGAAAAAAAACTGTGAAGGTGGCAGAGCCCTGGCACTGCTGCCCAGAGAGACAGGAGAGCCTCCTTCTTGGAGATACTTGGAACCCACCTGGACACTTCCCTGTGCAAACTGCTGCAGGGAACTGCTTTGGAGGGCTGGTCTGGGGGGGGTTCAGAGTTCCCTTCCAGCCCCTATGGCTCTATGATTCCGTGCCACTGACAGCAGTATTCATAGTGTTCCCAGAGCTACAGTCGTGAGATGCAGGCTCTTTAACGAAGCCTGCTTAAAGTGTAGGCCTTACTAATTTGATAGCAAACCTAAATCTGGTTTCTCTATTGAGAAGTTCATGTGTACTGAGCATATTTAGTAGCTGCGTAACGGTTGCCTAGGAGCCTGCTTCAGCAGTTGTAGAAAAATCCTTTCTGAAAGGTCATTAAATAATGTGGACCGTTGTGGTATGTATGCTCTGCTGTGCAATAAGCTAAGAGAATACTATTATTAAACACTGAAAGTGGGCCACATGAATGCAAAACACAAGTACAGTCTTACACCACTAGGATTTTATGGAGAATAGAAAAGCTGGCTGAACAACCTCTGCTAGGAGCTGGATTTATTTTGTTGCATATTAAATGTGACAAAGTCAAAACGCATTATTTTAAAAATCTGTTTCTTTGTTCAAGAGCCCAGAGGGAAGTTTAGATTCTTTGCCAGGAGGGTTCCAAAAATGTGCTTATGCACTCAAGTGTGCTTCTGTATTTCAGCTATTTTTGGTGGTCATTTTCCTTTGGCACAGGTGGTTTTATTGGGTTTGTGCTTTAAGAAGCACAGAAGTAGTTTGCAGCACAACCCATCTGTAACCTTACAGCCCACGATTCGGCTGATGACTTCAGAGAGGCAGAGGTTCCTAGGGGTGTGCATTGGTAAGCTGCATCCCCTTTGCTGGCTCCGGGGATACGGATTGCTGTAGTCCTCAAAGAAAGAGATGTGGCTGCAGCAAGGATTTATATTAGCAGGCATATATAGCCTTGAAAATAGCTCAAACGCTGAAAATTTTGTTTGAAAGGTTTAAAAAATGCAGTAGAAAGGGGAAAAGATGACTTGTGGGTCATTTACCTACGTGTTGTTTTTAGAGTCGTTACGTTTAGAAAAGAAATAGTAGACATATTTAGGATTGGTTTTGTTCTTTCCCGTAAGTGAAATGAGAAAGTTATAATCCTGTCAGTGAAAGCTCGTTTTTCTGGATATTGATGTTTCTTGGACTTCAGGATCCGTGTTTTGTCAATTGCAGCTCAACCAGCAGGAGTTCCCGAGATCCTAAAGAAAAGCCTGCACAGCTGTTCGGTGAAGGGTGAAGAGGAAGTTTTTCTAATTGGCAAGAACTTTCTAAAAGGAACGAAAGTGATTTTCCAAGAGAATGTTTCTGGTTAGTGTGAAAGCAACAACTCGTGGGAGAGAGCATGCTCGGGTTTACGTCGTTTCATACAGAGTAGCTGTAGAGAACAAATTGACAAACTGAATCAAGGGCACTGAAATAAATCGCTTTATATGGATGAGCAATAAATTATGCTTTTTAACTTTCATTTAGATGAAAATTCTTGGAAGGCAGAAGCTGAAATAGACATGGAATTGTTTCATCAGGTACTTACTACTGTTTTGCTTTTTTTTTTACTTAATATTTTTCTTTTTATTATGACCTGCAGACTCCCTTTTAGCATGATCAAATCATTGATTCTTAGGTTTTAAGTCACTGTCTTGGCAAATATGCTCCAGGATCAGTGGCTTATTACAAATAAAAAGCAAAGTATAGAATCAGGGAAATGGAGCTTAGGAAGATTTCACTTTTGCTGAAGGTGTTGTGTGTGGCTCACGTTGATGAAAGCTGGAAATGTACGCAGTGGTTTTGTTTTCAGTCAGTGCTGTTGAATAAGGGAAAGGCAGACAGAGCTTTCCTCATTTGGAAGAGAAATAGAATTTTAAAAGACAGAGCAGATAGTATTTTTAGTGCTACCTTTAATTTCTTAAATTTTGCTGATTTGACTTTCTATATTTTCTGTACTAAACTGACTAATAACTTTAAAACAATTAAGTAATCTGTGACACTGTTCTGTCTCTCACCTTTGCCACTCCACAAGCAGTTGGACAGTTCTTACACTAGAAAAACAAACAAAAAAACCCAAACCTAACAGCAAAAGATTTAAAATGTAGAAGGATTTTACTTTCCTTCGTTGAAAAAGGAATTTGTAGCGAGCCCAAAAGACAGAAGAGCTGTAACAAATACATAATTACATTTCTTCTCTAGGAGGGCTGCCTCTGTGCTCTAGTAACAAGCTTCTCTTTTGGGATTGTGATTTGGCAGTCTGTTGCTTTTCTCCAAAGATGAGATGTTCATTCTGATGGATCTGCTTTTTTTTCCTTGGTACTGCAGTTTAAAATAAAGTTAATTACGTGCCTGTAACCTGGTACAGAGCTGCTCCGTGGAGGAGAAGTGGTAGAAGGCAGCTGGCAACCAGCCTGACTGCGAGCTTCTTGGATGAGTGACGTTCTGTGTGCGACCCATCAGTGTGAAAATGAGGAGCTGAAATGCACAGATCCCAATTAAAATCTGTCTGAAGTGACGCCGAGCAGTTGGTGTGCAGAAATACTTCTCGTGCAACTTTGTGTCAATTGGAGCAAGGCACAGCTTGATTGTGCTGCAGCTCCCGTGCTTCTGGATAGAAAGCACTTAAAAATCTGATGTGCAGGAAGCGTTGTCTATGAAATAGTGGCTGTATGAAAGCTGTTACACAATACAACCTGCAGTTCTATTGTGAAAATGAAAAGTAAAAGTGGTATTACAAGCTTCCTGGCTTCCTGATGTACTCTGAGGACTAGTTCTGACTTTGCAAAATGAAATCAAAACTGTTTCCAACTGACTTCACTGAACATTTTCCCCCGTTCTTTCTGGTGTTTCATTAGTCTGTTTCTTTGCTTTGAGGGAGGTAGATAGTCGTAATAGTAACGAAGTGAGGTTCCTGATATGATTTTGCTGTTTTTGGCATTACAGAATCACCTTATTGTGAAAGTGCCGCCGTATCACGACCAGCGAATAACCTCAGCTGTTTCTGTGGGAATTTACGTGGTGACCAACGCTGGGCGATCGCACGACGTGCAGCAGTTTACCTACACTCCAGATACATGTATGTGAAATGGGACAGCGGGGCAGGAGTGGGCAGTGAGCTGCTCAGCCTTTCTTTCCTGATCTCACGGTCCATATAACAAACGTTAGATATTGAGGATCTTTTCAAACTCCTCTTGTGGTTAAGATTTACTCTGCGAGGAAAGCCAAGCCCTTAGATTTCATTATTCATCTGCATGGTGCTGTCACCAAAATCCATTGACAGGTATCAGTAGCAGCTGCTTTTAAGCATTTCTTCTATGAGCTTCAAAATGAAGGTGAGTAGGAAAAATACAGGCATCCTACATACAGAACGCAACAGAAAAACCAGCACCAGTTCTTACTGCATGGAGTGAAGATTCGTGACGTGTTTTTTGTTACTTTATCCATGGCAGTGTGCAGTGCAATTGCTGGCATCACTTTTGGCTTCTTCACTTTTGGAAGTGATGCTGTGGGCGCTGCGGTTCCCAGTCGGTGAGCTGTGCGTTCGCTGCAAAGCACTTCCATGAGTTTCAAAAAAAGCTGAGTTACTTTAAGGTCGAAGTGGCTGAGTTTGCTTTGAGGATTTTTTTTTGTTTGTTTGCTGTTTTAATATAAGGAAGTTTTCAATGTGTTTTGCCTCAGCAGCTGGTACTCTGAATGTTAATGTGAAGAAGGAAATCTCCAGCCCAGCCCAACATTGTTCTTTTGAAGAGGCTATAAAAGGTACTAAATTGATTCTTATCATTGTTGTTAATAATTTAACTATAAATTCCCACCCGAATTTTGCAGGAATGAATCAGCTATCCTGAGAAGCTGTGTCTGCACTTACAAAATCTGGCAGTGTTCTTACAGTGGGGCTTGATTTCTAATCCTGAGTATTTCACTTAGTGGCTGTATTCCTTGAAGTATTTTGTAACATGAGAGAGAGCAGAGCAAAAACCTCAGCAAAAATAATTTTTAAAGAATTGTTTTTGGGCCTCGGAACCAACATTCCAATCTTCATGTAATACTTTTACAAAGAAGAGGAGAGAAACCTAAGAGGACAGTGGGTACAAAGGATTTAGAAGCTATGTGGTGTCAGTTGAAGTTTAAAAGGAAGAAAGGCGGGGGGGAGGTTAGAAGAACAGAGCACTGAAAAGCCCTCACGTACTAAATTGGTACTTTTCCTTACGGTTATAATGGTGTGGTAATATTAGAGACTGAAGCTGTCCAGTGATTTTTATGGCTGCTTGCAATGGCTCTAGTAAGAAAGCAAAGTCTGGCATTTTCAGCTTACTTCCTTCAGTGGTGTTTTCTTTCTTGTCATTCTGTCCATGCGAGGTTTGTTGTTTTGTTCCAAGGGAGAATCTTGTAGGCTTGCCTGGCTTTTAACTGAATTGATCCTTTCTATATTGAAATAAAGGAAGGAAATATTTCTTGGTTGTTAAGACTATGGCAGTGTACAAAGGTCAATGGAAATTTCCATAGCCTGCTCTGGTGGAAGCAGATTGAAAGGTAAGCAAATTAACAATGTGATCACAAGTTTGATAGGAATCCATAGCTTCAGGTTAAAATCATGAAGCTCATGTTTAAAGTTAATAGCTGTACATTTGGCCTTGACAGGGGATGTATTTACAAGTCGACTTTACAACTTGTTAGGTAGGATAATGCAAGATATGATGAGTTTAAACCTGCAGAGCGTAATAGGGGAGAAATTTGCAGAAGGGTTTAGGGCAGTGAAACAAGCTGATCAAAGGATTGGTAAGACTTCTTAGTAGCTAGATTAAAAAGATAAGGATAATAATAGCCAATGTATCAGGGCAAGCCTGACATCTATCTGATCTAGTACGGAGGCTTAGCCAAGATGAGATAGCAACTGCATCAGGGGAACACTGCTGTTCACGTGTGGTTCCTATTGGCTCATCCCTTTGTTCATGAGAGAACTTGTCCTACCCTTGTGTGGATTTTCCTCTAGCCTTTTTTTTTTCTGACTGTTCATTCCTGCACCTACTCAATCTGTTTTAGGCTGGAGGTGAACCTTAGGTCAGACAGTTTTGTCTGCTTTATGTACTTTGTCTCTACATGTCCCAGCTTATCCTTCATCTCTGTTCTGAAATGATACAGAGCGAGTGGGGATCCAGTGAACACTGCTTCCTTCCTGTTTGCTTTCACTGGGAACAATATGATAAAACTCACAATACAGGTGCCATCATGACTGCAGCCTCAGACAAATAATCGGTTGCTGCCTACAGTTACATCCTGAACTTTAAGGGCCTTTCTGTTCTTATCATGGGCAAATTCAAACTTTGTCTCAGATTCCTTATAAAATTATTGCACCTGTGTAAATGAAAAAAAGCAACACATTGCTTCCCAAAACAATTTCAGATTTTTAGTTCTAAGACTGTTTGTAGATCTGGAAGATTTCAAGAGCAAGTTATGTTTCAGGGCAACGTTTAGAATTGTAAACTTGGGAAAGAGGAGTGAGTATGGCTAACCATGTAGTTCAAGTCTCTGCCTAAGGAAATGCACGTCCTTCCAACAGAGGAGTAGTCATCCAGCATTGTTTGTGAACGGTTAAAGATGGTTACAGGTTCCAGTTTCACTGGGAGAAAAGGGAAGGGGTGCATTTGCCTTGAAAACATGGCAGCAGTTCAGAAGTTCTAAAATAAGTCAATCACAAAGACGTACAAACCAAGACCAACAACAGTTTTCTGCTTTTGAAAACTATTTTTCATTTTTAATCTCGTTTCTTTTTTTCATTTTCCCAACCAAGTACGTCACTGTGAAGCAGCACGCTACTGCTAGTACCTAACCTGTGTGGCACTGGAATTTTAATTACTGAAGTGTAAAGTTTTTATTGTTTCCAGTTAATACTGCATGATTAAACACGTAAGAGTGGAAAACTTGATAACTGTGAGTGCTGTGTATGAGTGGCTGTCCTGAGGCAGGCGTGGGGTGGGATTCTGCTGCTCAGATTGCACTCCCTGCCAGCAGCACAGCCCAACTCCCCGGGCCACGTGGCCTGTGCTCCTGGAGCCATCCCAAAGGTGTGGGTGAACAGGAGGGGAGGAGTTTGCTTGGCTGCTGGTATGCTGATGACTGAGGATTTATTACCAAAGATAGACGATAACACTTCAGGGGAGAATATTTGCTTATATGCAGAACAAACATGTGAGAACTGTGACGTAGGACGTGGCGTTCTGGCGGTACGGATATGCAAAAACTTGACTGCCGTGTTATTGCAAGATTTGAGTTTGTTCAGAGTATGCAGGTTTTTTATGTTGAAGATTAATTCTTTAATCTACTTACAAACTACTTACAGGTCTGTGGTCTTCACAGATTTTCCCATTGGTTTGCTTTAAGCTCAAATAATTTCAGCAATATTTTAAGTCGGGAAAGCTCATTTTATTTACTGCAAAGATCTTGGCCTATGTAATATATATGTATATATATTTTTAAAATCTGGATCAGGAATAATGAATGTAAGGAGATCTGATTCATGTCAAGAAGCCACCTTTCTATTTCAGAAAGAAAGAAAGGCACTGCAAAGGCAAAATAACAACTTGCTCTTCCTAGTCAGCTGGCGTGCAGATTTATCAAGTTTTCACTTGGTTAGTTCTTTAACAGAGCAAAAACACAGTTTGAGTGCTTTGAGTGTTTTGAGTGCCTTGAAGTGAGACGCATTTATCTGGAAAAAAAAGACATTTTAAAATTGAAATGGAGTACAGTTAAAGTACAGTATGGTTTAAATTTTTTGTGGAAAGATATGGTAAGCTTTTATATTTGCAGTTTAAGACAATTGGTGGCTATTTTTCCTGGTCCAGAAAGAACAAGAGAAAGAAAACGTGAACAGTTTTACTGTTTCTTAGGATTATTTGATGTATATTTGTAGTGATCTCTGCATTTTGGCATCTTTTATGGGGATTTGAGCTCTTACAATGGTGCTGAGAAGTTAAATGGGAAGCAGGCCAGTGCTAGAAACCCTTTGTGCTTTGTAGAGTGAATGTTTACATTTCGTTCTCCTTTTTATTTATGAAAGCCACCAGTTGTAATCTGGAGAAGGTAAATATTCTTCCTAGTGCCTTGATAACTCCGCTCATGCCAAGCAGTATGATTAAGAATGAAGATGTGTCTCCAATGGAAGTAAGCGCAGAAAAAAGATCTCCCCCTGTTTTCAAGGTAAGTTGGACTGTGATCTGAAGATAATCGTATGCCTGACCATCAGCTAATAGTGCAAAGTGGAGGAGAGGATGCACAGAGAAAATGGCAGTGTCCAAGATCAGTCTGGCCGTAGGATCTCCGGGCACTATTGCAGCAGTAGACAATTTCCTTTGAAAGTAACTCTCTCTTGTTCCTACATTCCTGCCTTGGCTGATTAGTGCTCCTGTGATGAATGTTCTTTTTGTCCTGTGACACAAAATAAGTAAAATATTGCAAGGATGTTAATCACTGCTTTGTATTGCTTTCATTGAATTCTCACTTGACTCGTCTTGAGATAGCATTTCCCCATTCTCTCACTCATTTGCTTGCATAACTATTATGTGTGTAGAGATGCACAGCCATCAAATACTTTATTGTCTTTCCTGAGCATTATCAGTTGGTGGAAATAGTATCAATGCAACTTGATAAAGCATGTGAATTGCTTAATGTATCACTGCTCTTTTCAGGCTTCGAAAGTAGTTGGACCAACTCAGCAAACTTTAGAAAGCAGTATGCCTGGCATACCAACTTCTGCTTCCCATTTACCTTCTGAAAATGAAAAGCAGCAACAAATACAGCCTAAGGTTTATAATCCAGAGACTCTAACTACTATCCAAACGCAGGACATTACCCAGCCTGGTAGCTTTTCATCTGTCTCTACTCCAGGTCAGCTGCAGAACAGTGACACATTATTGCAGCAAGCTGCACAGTTCCAAACAAGAGATTCCCAAACCAGAGAAGTCTTGCAGTCAGATGGCACGGTAGTCACTTTGTCACAATTAGCTGATGCTTCACAGCAGCAACAATCTACACTACCAGAACCAGCACAGGCGTTACAGCAACAGATTTCATCAAGTATTTTCTCGTCAGCGAGTGGTGTGAGTCAGTTGCAGAACACTATACAGCAATTGCAGGCTGGAAATTTTCCAACTAACACTGCCACAGGCAGCAGTAGAAATGTAGACTTGGTGCAGCAGGTACTGGAAGCTCAACAACAGTTATCTTCTGTTTTATTTTCTGGGTCTGACAGTAATGAGGATGTTCAAGATCAGCTAAATGCAGATATCTTTCAGCAAGTTAGTCAGATACAAAATAGTGTAAATCCTGGGATATTTTCCTCGTCAGATACAGCTGTCCATTCCAGACCAGAGAACCTTTTGCCTGGAAGAGGTGAAAATGTTCATTCACAGCCCGAAAATACATTGTCCAATCAGCAACAGCAACAACAGCAACAGCAGCAGCAGCAGGCAATGGAGACTTCTGCAGCAATGGTGATAGGAATCCAGCAAAACATTTGCCAGGCTGCTACACAGATGCAGTCCGATTTGTTCTCTTCAACAACTTCAGGGAATGGAGCCCTCCAGCAGTCACCTGTTTACCAGCAGGCTTCTCATCTAATGAGTGGGTTATCGACGAGCGAAGACATGCAAATGCAGTGCGAATTATTCTCTTCGTCTCCTGGTGTTTCTGGGAGTGAGACTAATTCTACAGCTCAGCAGCAGGTCAACAACAACGGACCTGCTCTATTTCAGGCATCAAGTTCTGCAGATGGAGAGGAAGCTTCAGGACAGAGTAAACAGATGCAAAGTTCTGTATTTCAGACCATGGTTCAAATGCAGCACAGTGGAGAAAGTCAGTCTCAAGTTAATCTCTTTTCATCTACCAAAAACATGATGACTGTTCAGCCGAGTGGAGCTCAGCAGCAAGCAGGCGGTCTGTTCCAGCAGGGCGGAGAAATCATGTCTATTCAGCCTGCAAACTTTATGCAGCAATCTCCACACTCACAGGCTCAGCTTTTTCACTCTCAGAATCCTATTGGTGATACTCAGAATATATCACAGGAGGCACAAGGCTCCATTTTTCACAGTCCAAATTCCATTGTCCACAACCAGACCAATACTAATTCGTCAGATCAACTGCAGCGTCCAATGTTCCATTCACAGAGCACCATGGGTGTATTACAGAGCTCTTCAGTTCCTCAAGATCAGCAGTCTGCCAACATGTTCCTTTCCCAGACTTCAATTAGCAACCCAGCAACTCAAGAGGAGCAGATGTCATTCTTTACAAACCCAAGTTCCATTTCTCCTCTTCAGGCAGCAGCAAACACTGAGCAACCAACTTCTTTCCAACAGCAGACACAGATATCTCACATCCAGAGTTCTATGCTTCCCCAGGAGCAGCCACAGGCTCAGCCTGCTCAGCAAGGTTTGTTTCAGCCTCAAGTACCATTAGGCTCCATCCAGTCCAGTTCAATTCCCCAGAACCAACAAGGAGCTATCTTCCAGCCTCAGCATTCAATAGTTGCTATTCAGAGCAGTCCTCCGTCTCAAGAACAGCCACAGCAGCAGCAACAGAACATGATGTTCAGTAATCAAAATGCAATGAGTACAATTGCTTCTCAAAAGCAGAACATGATTTTTAACCCAAACCAAAACCCTGTTACTAATCAGGAACAACAGGGCCAGTCCATTTTTCATCCACAGACTAACATGGCGCCAATAAACCAGGAACAGCAGCCCATGCAATTTCAGAGTCAAACTACAGTGTCTTCTCTGCAGAATCCTGGATCCAGCCAGGCCGAAGCACAGCAGCCAGCCATCTTCCATAACTCACCCCAGATTCAGCTGGTCCAAGGGTCACCGAGTTCTCAAGAGCAACAGGTCACCCTCTTCATCTCTTCAGCTTCCATGTCTGCCTTGCAGAACAGCATGAGCCAGCAAGATCTGCAGCAGTCTCCAATGTACTCTTCTCAAAACAGCATGGCAGGAATGCAAGGAACTGCTTCTCCTCCACAGCAGCAAGCTTCTTTATTTCATAACACAGCAGGGGGTGCTATCAACCAGCTGCAGAATTCTCCTGCTTCATCTCAGCAGACTTCAGGAATATTCCTGTTTGGCATTCAAAACAGTAAGTGGTAGATGCCTGACTGGGAGTTTAGAAGAGCTACTGATGGGAGTCTGCAAGACTTTTATGCACTTTTATTATGTTTAATTAAAAAACAAAAAGTAGTGTGGCAGTATAGCTGAGTATACGTATTTATTCCTGTTGCTCTGAGCACAGACGTTACTTTTAGCAATGCAAGAGTACTCTTAGCTTCACTGTCTGTTGGTTTTCCTACCCTTAGAATTAGCATATGACAGAAACAGCCTACAACACTGTGTGCATCTAGATATATGGTTATAAAATATATATTATTAAGAAGGTGTATACAAACGTTCTTTATATATATATATATATATATACACACACACTGAGAGAAAGAAATATGGTTGTTCTCTTAAAGACAGCTCCACTAATCTTCATGCTGCATTTGGTTTCTGTGATTTCTGCAATGAGTTTCCACACACTGTTGAAAAGGAAAGATGTTTGAAGCTGCTTAGTTCAGAAAAGCTTCCATTGATGTATATTTGAAACCCCTTTGAGTTTATAAGCTTGCAATTTTCTGTATCTCCTCTCTGAATTTAGCCTCTATTGTAAGTTCTTTGGGATACAGATCCTTTCACCTGTCCATCAAGAGTATGAATACCTATGAAGCTCTAAAAGCAACAGATGCAGTGATTGTAACATCTTATGAAACACCTGGGGAGAAAGTGGTAACCACAGAGCAGTTGCGGGGCTGTACCTAAGGATGTGTCTTGCTGTGTGAACTCTTGCAGACTTGTAGGAAGAGCTGGAGGATACCTTGACTGACCTGAAAAAGAGACATCTGTAGCTTACAGAGGCAGAGAGTGGGCACACTTAGTGCTTCTCTTATGTCACACATCTTCTTTTTCTTCTAGCAAAATACTTTTCTCTGTCATATTCACAGCGTTTGGTCAAAATACAGAGCCCATAATTCAGTGTGCGTACCTTGAGCCCGTGCATATAATTGTAGGGAGCAGTGAGAAAAGGTGGTGACGTGAAAACTGCCTGCAACATCCTACAGAGTCAGTAGGGATAGGTAGAAAGAAGTTGGCTAATTCATTATATGCATTAATCAAACTGAAATTGCCTTGCTGTTCTTCACTTAACAGACTGTAGCCAGCTGCTGCCTTCTGGCCCGGCTGCACTGCCTGATGAGTTGATGGCTATCAGTCAGCCAGGTCAGCCGCAGAGCGAGGGACAAGCAGCAGTGCCAGCGCTTCTCTCCCAGCAGATACCTGAGACTTCTCCACTACCTTCAGCTATGGCACCCAGTCAGAATATTGAGAAAATAGATGATCTGCTTGTTTCACTGCAAAACCAGGGGAACAACATGACTGGCTCATTTTAGAAAGGCAAGTAAGTAGAGTGTTTGTGTTTCTGGGTTCTTTCCTGCTGTACATACTTCTGTTCACAAGTTTTTCGTTGCAGTGTATCCCCATTCTTCAGGGGGTCAGCTAAGATATCAGTAATGATGAATTGAGAGTATCGTATCAGCAGGTAGAAGAAAGAGTTATTTAAAATAGTCCAAGGTCAGTATTTCTGTGAAACAGTTGGCTAAGTTTTGTTGTTAGATTGCTGTATATTTTGTCATCTGTTTTTATAGTGTAGTTCTTCAGTAGGAAGGAGTGAGTGGATCACTGACAGCTTGGCAGACAAACATTAAGGAATATGGCTGTAGCTAAAAGCATATGGCTTCCTGGGTAAATAACGCAGTTCAAGTCTGTACTGTTCTGAGGTTGGGCCTCTGAGTTACAATAATGTAACTTGACATCAAGTTTCTGAGGACTATGATGGGTGTTGAGTGTGTCTCATGGTGAGTCTGTTAACAACGAGATCACAGGATTAGCAGCGAGCAGGAAACGTTCTGCTCTTAGAAGGTGCCTTTTCTAGAGAGGTGAAAGAGCCTTTGGCTGCGCCGAGAACAGAAAGACTCCAGAATATAGCATTATCCACAGTATGTTACCTGGCTTTAGAAAATTGAGTTGCCATCCTAAATTCCACCTGTTTTCACTGAAGTGAAATTGTTTTGGGTGAAATTATGAACTTGATTTGAAAAAAGGCAATCCTGCCCTATGAAAGAGTGTGCAGTTCTGATCTTTGCTCATAGTTTGATGTCTGCTTGTAAAGGACGTTTTCAAGATGAGAGGAAGGAACTGTGCAGAAGTAGGAAGATGATTTCTGTTAGGTCTAACTTTTTTTTGCTTGCTTATTTTTTCTGCAGAAATTCTGAGAAGAAAGAGGCGATGACTTCCTGGATCCTCTCAGACCTTGTGACTCTGGATTAGGCAGCGTGGAACTGATTGCTTCTGTCAAAAAGTGGCCCTCTTTTCTAAGAGCACACGTGGCCAGTTGCAGTGTCTAGCACCTAAGGCTATGACTGTACTATTTGAGATTCAAGATTCGTAGTGCCAATAATGCTGAAAAGCTATGCTTTGTTCTACGGGGGCGTAGGACTGTGCTGTTACCTGACTCCTACTGCCCGCCGAGAGTGGCATGCTCTCTGAATTTAAAGCATATCTGGTCAGTTATTATTGTTGTTAGAAGGTAATACATACTACCGTGTTTACTTTATTTTTTCCCCTTCTCTTCCTTCTTCACATCCCCTCTTTTGACTCTTTTGAAAAGCTAGCGAAGCAGAAACATCAAATACCCGTGACCTAAATCGTGACTCGTAGCTGTCAGTAAGTGAAGGGACTGGGTGTTCTACAGTTAAGTGGGAGAGCTAATACTCTGATTTATTAACTGCAGTAGGGGCAATGAAAATATTGACACACGTAACAAATGAGCAGAGAATTGCTTGCTGCTGTAGTTGGCCTGACAGAGGTGCGTGCTTCCCATCTAAGAACGTGATTAACGGTTGTCCGTGTCTCTTACATGTAGCTGTACGCAGAGCAAGGGGTTGGTGGCTCTAACTGAAGAAACAGAGGGGAGCTTTCAGTTAAATTATGCTCTAAAAATCTTAACCTCTTAAACACCTTCAACTTGAAAAGCACATTCTGCCTGGCTGACGAAACAACTCCTTTTGGTCTCCCATGCTGACTGGATGGGTCAGAACGAGTTGAAGCTGCATTTCTCACTCTCAAACTCGTTTTTTCCTTTTTGTTCTTCTTTATGCTTTCCCTTCTCTCTTCCTCAGTTTTGTGTTATGTTGTTGGAAGTGTTAGAAATATCCTGCTCCCTTTCAAGATCAGAAGCAGCTTTTAGGAGTCCATGGCACCAACTCTTGTGCTGTTAAAATGCTTGGTCAAACAGGCTCTGAGAAATAAAGGTTAAGGAAAGAGGGAGCAATTTTTCTGCATCCCTTCAAATGTGGGAATCCCCCTTCACCACTTGCTTTCCAGCTGTTGCTGTTGTAAATCTTCTGTTTGACTTTACTCCAAATGGGGGGAAATTAAATCATTTTTACACGTTCTCGAAAATTTCAGTTTATCCTGAGCTGCTGCATTTTGTAGCTCGTTGCAAATTTGAAGTGTTATTTTCCTCCTGACAGTCCCCTAGGCACAGCTTCTAGATTGTCAGACATTGACTCGTTACAGAATGTAAAGCCAACCCACTCCAAACCATGCAGGTGTGTTGTGAGGCATGTGAACTTTTGGGTGCTCCAACTGTCCAGTAGGTTTTGTGAGATCTCACTACAGCCTTGTTCGGATATTTGTTTCTCCTCCTTCTGCACGTAGAAAGCTGTTAGAAAGCTGTTAACGCAGTTAGAGCCCAACAGCTGTCATGTATGGCTATTATGCCTCGGTATAGTGTAGTTGATATCATGTCATATTTCATTTTTGTTATTTTGAATAACAAAGGATAGTCTGTAAATGGTTTTTAAGTTACTCTCGTCTGTTTACTGTGTTTCTTCCCTAACTCGTGTGCTTAGTTGAGCCGTGTAGAGTTTTTGTTTTAATGGTTCTTCCTGTTTGTCGGTCTGTCACAGCGTTCATTTTCTCTTTCTGTCTCTCTTTCTCTCTCTCATTGAGAGGCATTGAATTACGTTTTCAGTAGTAAGGCTTCTTGCCGATATGAAGGGAACTTTTCAGAAAGAGACCTGCTCTGGGTCATTTAATTTTGAATACAGTTTTCAATCGTTCAAGTTTTGGATGGTTTATATCTAATGTGTGTTTCATTTTTTTGGAAAGCTATATTTTGTATTTAGGAAATGGTATACTATTTTGCTATTTGTACTGAGTGAGTACATTGGCATAAATATAAAAATTTATATATATACATATATATAAAATATTCTTTTTGCCACACATTTTTGTGGTAAATTTGTGAGTTTGTCTGATGTTCTACCACAACGTGGCGTCTGATAACAGTGGGTGGGGTGGGGTTTGTTATGTCTTTATTGAGTATTTAAGTCCTTTTTGCAGCATAAATGACTTGTTCATCTCTCGCCATTCCATCAGGCAGTGGTTTGTTCCAGCTGGCCATGAGAAGCTTCACCGCGCGGTGCTGTCTGCCGCTCAGCAGTTCAGTGTAGTGCAGAGCCCCGTAGCAGTTAGGCGCGGAGCGGAGGACGGGGTTTCGTTCAGAATGAGCCATTCAGCTTTTATCCTCTATCATTGTCTATTTAATATTTTATTATTAGTGCCTCTATGTTTTAACTTTTAATTTATGATTATGCTAAAATGTTTAAAATTTTAATCACGATAAAAAGAATTCCCTGCTTCGTACTGCCCAGAGCTGCTTTGTAACCCTGAACCATACTTTTTCTTCCTGTGATTTATATATATATATTTTTCTGCTAAGAGCAAATATTAATAAAACCCTGTTATGGTTCATGACACGAAAATAGCAACCTCGCAGGACTAAATGCTAGTTGAGGATGCGTAGAAGACTGAGAATTGTGGACCGAAACAGCTTCCAGATGGCTGTGAAAGTCGATAGCCAGTTACCTACAGATGAGCTGGTGGCTTTGCAGGATCCCAGTCCCAGGACAAACTGTCGGGTGTCATCTGGGGCCTTCATACACAGAAGAAGTAATAGGAATGACACGTTCACCTGTATGCTGCTTCAGTTTGTTCCGTTGTTCTGAAGGTGTGTCCTTTTGCTGAAGTGTTGTTGGTCAGTGCCAAGTCACCAGGGACCAATTTTCCAATTCAGAAGTTGGGTGTCCAAAAGAGAACTTTATACCAAGACTGCTACAGCTCCAGGGAAGGGTGTGTTTGAACGGTGTGCGTGTGTTAGGTGGCTTATTTAAAAAGAAAAAAGAAAAAGAGGAAAAAAAAAAAAAAAAGGGCTGTGCTATCACATTTTTCACTTTTGGATAACACCTTTCATTTATTGTGTTGAAATTTATCTCGTTTCATTTTAGGTCAATGTTTAAATGTACAACACTTTGGACACGTGATTTGGTTACAAAAGCTATTTGTCTTATGAAGGAAAAGATTGCTCAGTGGTTGATTAGTGCTGGAAATGCTGCTTGCAAGCAGCTGTAACGAGGGCTTTGATAAGCCAACAACGAGCGTAAGGGCAGCCTGCAGGATTTCATGGCAGAAAGAGACAAGAGCAGCATCAGCTGCATCGGTTTGCTATCAGAGTCCTGAGCATTCGTGACAACCAGTTGATGCTGATAATTGGAGCTTATTCTGTGTTTTTAACCTCTTTGTTCACTCCTCTGCACGTTGATGCTGGTGTGCCTGTTGGACGGAGGGCGGGTGGACGCTGGCTGGCATGGAGCTGAGAAGTGGTATCACATCCAATCCTTTTTGCTGCAGAAAGTTGGGAGATACTGAGACATTTAATCTGAACATTTGAAGTTCCTAGCATTATTGTAAAAAAAAAAAACAAAACAACAACCCACTATCACACACAAGGCAGCAGTTAAATGCGAGAAATGTTACTAGGTGGAAAGTGAAAAAACAGAGCTGTTTCTCTGATGGGTTTTCTGTGTTTGTTTGCTGCTTGAGCTCTCTCTGAAGCCATCTGAGCCTCCGTCCTAAACGTGGGCTGTTCCTCCAGTTGTAGATGCTCTGCTGTCTGCCCAGTGCCTATGTACCTGATGGTTGATGGAACAGAGATTTATTGGCACAGATAAAAAGCTACAGAGGTGTATCTGCTAACCACCAGCCTTGGGTTCATGTCTGCCTGCACCTTGTTTGACAAGTAAAAAGAAACAGCAAACAAAACGTTGTATGAATAGCATAATACACAAAGTAATGAGCTAACATCTCCTGGCAGGAAGTTATTGGTGCTTTGTGCTCCATCAGCAACTCCACCTTTTTTTAATTAAAATTGCTCCTTTGCTGCTTACTCTTCCAGCAGCTTATGAAGCCCAGTGCTTTGATATTTAACATCAGAATAGCTCAAGAAACAATTCCAACCTTACAGCTTCCAAGTAGAGGTTTAATCACCAGCTGTTCCATTATGTGTGTGTACATATGTATGTATATTACTTTTTTAAATCATGGAGAGTAATTCAGTTTTAAGATAGAATGAAACATCAATAAACTTCTGTAAATTGAGCAGGCTTTCTTTAATCTGGAAACATTGAGCACCTGGCAGCTGCACTGACGGGTTTTGCCCTGGTTCAGGTAATGGGATCAGAAGGAAAGATTGGTAGAATTGATGGTGTAGTTTCTAGAATTAAACTCATCTGAACAGTTCTTCGTTCATGTCTAGAGTCTTCAGAAAGAATACCAAACAAGTGGGAAACTTGTGTTTGACTTGAAGGAAATTTGAAATCGCAGGTTGAGTGGGATTTTGGCTTATTTCAAATCAAAATCAGAAGCTTTTATCGGACTAAAGCTAAGCACAGCTCCTGCCCAACGCGTGTGCAGGCGTGCAGCGCGCGTTCAGTAAGAGTTGGTGAGGACTTTCCTGCCTGTTTTTCAGTCTCACGTCTCCGTGTGATGTTGGTTTATTTTTTCAGAGTTATTACAGGAGAGCAGTGCTAAGGATTGCAGGCCTACCTGAGCGATGGAAGCGAGAGGGAGGAGAAGGAACTGCTTTGCATGCGCTCAACCGTGAGTTGGAGGTGGAAGGTGTTCATTTGTTTCGGGGGCTGTCTCTAATTTGGAGTAGTCTTTTGGGATAGATTGAGAGAGCTTCATCTTCCCATTCGGGTGGATTCTGCTGGCTGTGTGTGGCAGCAGCCAGCTGAGGGGTTACACAGGAGAGGAGAGGCCTTTCCTTTCGTACAGTCAGTGTAGGTGTGTAAATAGGCAATGCCTGTATATTGGGGATTGTATATATGTATATAGAGGAGTCGTATATCTATTATAAATAGTCAGTAGACACGTGTAGAGTACTGCTGTATTTACATTTTTATTACCTTGAATTATATCCATTTTTTCGTATTTCTGAGGTTTTGCAGCAGCTCCTTGGTAGCTGCAGGACACCTTTCAGTACTGTACGTGTGGCACTGTTGGTAGCGTTGCTTTAGAAGCCGTCTCTGCTTCTGAAGGTCACTCATGTCCGTGGGGTTAAAGTGGCTGTTGAAGTCAGCTATACAGTTTTGTATTTTTGTATATTTTTATTAATAGTTGCAAATGCGGTGTGAACCGACAGCAGTGCCGGGTCAGCCCGCACCCACGTGTCCTCTGAGCGCTCTCCTAGAGCAGCACTGCTTCCTGCCTGCGCCTCCGAGCAGCTCCTGCAGGCACGGAGCGGTGGTGTTGTGCTCAGCTGAGCTGACACCAGCAGTGCTCTTACCGTGGGCTTACGGATCTTTGCCTAGCAAGGGATGTTGGCGGCTGCTCAGCGTGGGCTGCAGTTGGGTGATGATGCTGAGGCTTAGTCTGTAGGCATTCCTCTTCTCTTTGCCCCGATGCTTGCATGCAAGGGGAGCATCTCTCAATTTGTTTTTATTTTTGAAGTAGTTGCTATCTGGAGCACTGTCTCATAGGAGCCTTGTGAAAGCTCTCCCCAGTTCCGCCCTATGGGAAACACTGTCCCAACCCACACCAGTTTCCTGCAGGTTGTCTGAGGAGTTGAGCTCCCTAAAAGGAAACCCAGATTGTAAGCTCAGCAGCGTGTGCTTTGTCCACCATGACTCCTCAGGCCAAATCTGATCGACCCCACTTCAGTTTGGCATGAAGCTGATCTGTAGATATTGTTGTCCTGGTGCAGGTGTTGTCAAAGCATCTCTGCTAAACTGAAGGTAGCGTCCTCGTTTCTTTTCTCTGAGATGATTTCCACCGCTTCTGGAGATGGAGATCTGTAGCTTTTGCTATCACAATTGATGAAATTGCTCATAACATATCAGTGTGCTGGGACGAGGTGAGGAACAAGAGGATTTCACTGCCTCTTGAGGGATACTCACCGAAATTCTTTGCAAGTGCTCAGTTTAGCCTCCAAAATTTCAGCACCTAGCCCACTGAAGGCTTTGTGTGTGTTAGTTGTAATTCAGGTGAGGAAAGGGTCCTGTGTTCAGACGATGAAAATTGCCTTATCTTCCCTTAGTCTGCAAAGCTGCCCCCTGTAAGCTGGTGAGGATCTGCCCCGTGCCCCTGGCCCAGGCTGCCAGGCAGCATTGCTGTGCCCTGCAGCCCCCAGGCACTGCCTCCCCCCAGGAATCATAGAACTGGAGGCAAGTTCCAGTGTCCCGCATAAAAGCCCACAGCATTGCTGAAGCTTTTTAATTTTGAACGCTGTTTGAAATGAGACAACTCCGCATTTTTACTGGAGCTCATTGATGATGAGTGAGCTCCGCAGTCATTCAGATCAGAGCATTCTACCTCTGTTAACACCCGCGTCTGTCTTGTGGCGCGCCGCCTTTTCTGCCATGTTGTCCTGCAGTGCACTGATCAACCGCTGAGCTGCCTTTTCCCTTGTCCTGCAGTGTGAAAGTAGCACCAGATATTCCCTGTGCATTTCTGTGTATATGGCTTTCGTAGATGGGATTTTCAAAGCACTGATCCCCAGTGCTTTCGGTTTGTTCTATGAGGGGGATATTTCATTTGCATCTATGTTTTTAGCTATCCTGTGATAACATGTTGAATATTAAAAAATAAAAATATTTTGCTTCTATTGGGACATTTGTATACTCGCAACTATATTTCTGTAAACAGCTGCAGTCAAGAATAAAACAATGAAAGTTTTCATTTTGCAGTGTAAAGTCCTGTTGTGGTTCTTTTCAAGGACACCTCCCTGCTGGGGAAAAAAAAAGGCTGTCTGGAAAGACAAAAGTGCATGAGTGCATGGGTTTGTGCCCTTGGTGCATGCCTTATGCTGTTGCATAGGAAGAGGCAGTGTGTCATGCACACACTCTGCAGGGGGGGGAACAATTCCAATGTTTCTTTGTTGTTATGTGGTCTTAGGTCCAAAGTTGCTTACTGCCCAAACACCAGCTTTGAGTTACAGAGATTTCAAGGAGGTAATTCATGATGTGCCTGAGGTGGGGATTCCCTCTGCGGTCTCTCACAGTCCCATCCCTGGGCTCTCCTGTGGGGCCAGCAGTGGCTTCACCCCGCTCAGCTCAGGCAGAGCTGGCAGCAAGGCCGAGACCTGGGATCTGCCTTGTGCTCAGCTGGATGCAAAGAGATGGAATGAATAGATGAGCGAATACAATCAATTAATGTAACTGGAAGTATGCCTTGGTAAATGTGGCTGTGTTCTGAGGGGTCAGCTTGATCAAGATGATGCTTTGTGGGAAACAGTGCATGATCTGAGGTAGTTCCTTCTTGGAATTTTCAGATGGATGCGCAAGCTGGAAAAATAATGGAGATACAACTTGGCAGAAGACAGCTTGTGCAGAAAGCGCTGCGGTGCGTGGCAATATGGGCTTTGTGCATCTCCAGGATGGGAAAAGCTACAACATAGGTAAGAAACAAAAACGTTAAACGTACCCTGAGTTCTGACAGAATGCACTGCTGTACGATACTGGAGCAGACATCAGAGCCTTGAACTCTGTTGTAGCACAGGAGGAAACGTGGCACCGGTTTGCTTGCTGTGGGAGGAAGGGGCGTGTGTTGGTGTGCATTGCTGTGTGGGTGTTGTTTCCTGTTAGCATTTCTTTTCAATGATGCATCCAAGTCTGAGCTCCTTGCTACGTCCTCAGCGTCCCAGAGCCCGCCTCCAGAGAGCTGCGTCACCATCATGGTCCTTCAGCTTCCGAGTGGGTGAGAAAAGGGAGCAGAGGAGATCCTTCCCGCAGCCTGGCACAGCCTCACTCTCCCTCTGGGCTCAGTCCCATGCAGTGTTCGCTGCCCACGCTGATAATCTGATGCCCGCTGCTATGGATGGAGCCCCCCAGCTCAGGCCTCCCACCCCCTGCCCTACATGGCTTAGCCAGCACCGTGCTTCTTTACAGTAACAGCTGCTGCCTCGGAGGGGCCTTCAGCCCCCTTTCTTTGAATTTCAATCCAGACTCCTCAGCTCAAATACTGCCCCACTACATGGCTCATTCTGTGGATGCATGTGCAGGAGGTGAGGGATGGGGTGCTGAGGCTTCCCAGGACACGACGGGACCTGGAGATCAGGGAGCTGGAAATCAGGGCTGTGTCAGTCCCTGAGGCTGTGGCCTTGGCTGCAGTGGGGCCGCCCGGTGTCAGTGGTCCCCAGGGTTCCTGCCCAGCTCCAGGGGTGGGCAGCGGGCAGCCCCCCAGCTGCACAGCAGAGCTGGGCCTGAGTCTGCACTGCCTGATGGGGGCAGAGAACAGCACACCACCTCCAGGTTCTGGACCTCAATTTATTGTTGTATTCACGCAGGCCTCAACCGCGGGCCCTTCCCTTGAGCCCCGAAGCCTTGATTTTGAATAAAATTGTACAGAAAAATGTCAGGAAAGAGAACACAGAAAAACAAGTGCATGCAGGTGTGGGGACTGCCCTTGCGGCCCCCTGCCACGGTGCTGTGAGGCCAGGCCTGGGTCTCAGTGCGGGCGCAGGGCCTGGCTGCTACTTCTGGGCCTGGAGCTGCTCGTTGAGGGGCACGGCCTTGCCCAGGTGCTGCCCCACCGACAGGCCGTGCTGCTGCCCCTCCTGCTGCGCCAGCACCTCGCGCTTCAGAACGAAGCCGCCGGCCGGGCTCATCTCGAAGCAGCTGTTGGGGACGAAGCTGAGGGGCTTCTCCTGCTCCACGGCTGCCAGGCGGCTCTTCCATGCACTCAGCATCTGTGCCCGCGCCTCAGGACTCGCGTAGCGCACGCTGTAGAAAATCTGGGGCGCCAGAACCTGGAAGCCGCAGAAGTGCAGAGTCCCCCGCTGCGGCCGGGGTGGGAAGAGCTGTCAGCACGGTGCCCTGGTACCACGCTGTCCCCAGCCCCGACCGTACTACCTGCATGGGCCACAGCAGCACGTTCATGTCGCCGTTGATGCCGCTGGGGCTGTACATGGAGCCCATCCCGCCGGTGGTGAGTGACAGCATGGCTTTTTTCTTCTGAGGACGGGAAGGGGAAAGGCAGGGGCTGCAGGGCCAGCACGTGTTCCCCCACAGCCCCGAGGCCTACCTGGAAGGGCCCCTGGTCGTACATGCTGGCCAAGGAATAGGCGAAGCCGTCGACGAAAACGCGGTCGAACCAGCCCTTGAGGATGGCTGGCATCCCAAACCACTGCAATGGGAACTGCGGGCACGGGTGGGTCAGGCAGCGAGCGCTGCTGCTCTTTTCCCCCCTGAAACAGCCCCTCCAAAACCAGCCACCCCCCACAAATTCCCCCTCAGCCCTTGCAATGAAGACTGCACTGCAGTCTTGCCTGGAAGATGACCAGGTCGGCCGCTTCAATCTTCTTCTGCTCGGTGACGATGTCGCTGCTGAGGCGTCCCTCCTTCCATGCATGCCCCGTCTCCATCTCGTAGACAAAGTGCTCGGGGTTCTTGGGGGGCCCTGCAGGGAGGTTGGGGGCTCAGGGAGGAACAAGCTGGGGGCTGGTGGGGACGATGGCTGCACTCGTACCGGTGATGTCGCGCCGTGAGAGCACAGCATTGAACCCGATGGCGTAGAGGTCTGAGATGGTGACTTCCCAGCCCTTGTCCCGCAGCGCGCTGCTGGCTGCTGCTGCCATGGCGTGGTTGAAAGAGGTTTTCTCGGGGTGCGCCAGCACGATGAGCGCCTTGCGGCCTGTGGGGAGGGTGCTGCTCAGCATCGGGGCCGACGGACCCACGTGGCTGAACCTGGGAGTCCACACTGCCCTTCTGAGCCCCGTGGATGCTGCACGGACCCCCTTACAGTTGTCCCCCAACCAATCCCCACCAGCACCCCGCCGCTGCCCCAGGGCAATCCGTGCCGGGAGCTGCAACTCCACGGCCACGTGAACCCACGAAGGCAGCAGTTAGTGGCGCAGTTATTGTCTGCTGCAGATCGGTGCTGCAGAGAGGGAAGCACAGCTGGAGCCAGTAGCCCCGGGCAAGATTCGCCTGTAGCGGTACCAGTGCTGACCTACCTGCCATTGCCGGGGCGGTTCGGCTCCCAGGAGCGGAACTGGAGCGAGGCCGTAACACCGCTCGCGGCCAGTACAAACGCTGGCTGAACTTCGCTCGGGCAGGGCTTGCTGAGGCCCGGGGGGCCGGCCGAGAGGCGGGGCGTGCGGTACTGAGACTCACTCGTGCCGCCCCGCTGCTCGCAGGCGAGATTCCAGTCCCGTTGCGCGTCTCCAGCCGTGTCCCTGCCAGCACCCATTGCCTGGGACATCACCCACTGCCCTCGGGGAGACACGCCCCCCTCCCCGTGCTGTTTTCATCCCCCTGGGAGCCACCAGCCCCCCGTGTTACATCATGGGTCTGCCCTAGGGAGAACCAAGGGCTGTCATCCGCACAGGGTCGTGCACCCAGACCCCTGACCTCCCCTTCCCCCTGTGGGCAGGTACCCTGCCTCACGTCCAGCAGCGTGTAGCTGCAGGAGCAGCTGTGCAGTGCAGGTGGGGTGGTTTGGGTTGCTGTGCAGGTGCAGATGGGCACAGAGCCCAAGAAAGGTTGGCTGTAAAATCTGCAGTTCATATCTGCTTGTCAGGGAGTGCCCTGATAGAAATCGTCCCAGGGTGCTGCTGGTGGGCAGCAGCCCAACAGCCCTGCTTTCCCTTCAGTGGAAAAAAGACTGAGTCATGGTGGTGTAGCATTTCGTGTTTATTCACTACGCTGTCATTCAACATGGCGTCCTTGGAAATAAACAGGAATGCCTATACCCCACTAGCAGTGTAGCCAGCACCTTCCATGTGTGCTGGGTCTGGCAGGCAGTCAGGGTCAGTACGTCACACACCCAGAGCCTTGCCCCTGCTGCTGCCTGCCCCGCTGACACCTGAAGAAGCCCAGAAGGAAAGGCTGGGTGCCGGCGCTGCAGGCGTCTCACCCTCCTGCTGTCACTAGGTGCCATGCAGTGCCCAGGCAGCCCACCTTTCCCTCACAACTGCACCGCCAAAGGCCCCGAACTGCCCTTCATCTTCTCTTCACAAATTTCTTTGTCACAGCGTTGGGGTTCAGGCGCCTCCTACCAGCGCCCAGTGCCATGTCCCGGATTTGCAGGTTGGCTGCGCGACTGTAGATATCGTTTTCTGCAAAAGGAGAGACCCCTGCAATGTAGTCGGGGTCGAAGACGTTGGTCTTCTGCCTGGCCTTGCGGGATAGCCGCTGCTGTGGGAAGGGCTGGTCCTCCACCAGGTGCGGGTTGTTGGCATGCTTCCCTCCCTGCGGCGCTGGCAGCGGATACTGCCCAAAGAACAGACTGTTAAACCTCTGGGGTAACTCCTGGTTAGAGGACCTTCACAGTGACTGCTGGTTTATAGAGAACTCAGCAAAAGAAGCTTGAGAGTCCCTGCAGTAAGTGAACACCCAGAAGGCAACCACAGCTCTACCTAGCCCAGCCCATGCAGCAACTCACCCTGAGTCCCCGTGGGTTCAGCACCTTGGGGTTGCGGGAGAAGTGCATGTGGAGGCTCCCATCCTCACTGACGCTCACTGCAACTTTCTTCAATGTCTTGTTACCGCAGTGAGGGCAGAAGACCTTGGTCATGTCTGAAGTTGTTCTGTGGTAGACAGAGATGGAGGAGGTTTACTACTCCCTGGGCTGCAGAGCAGAGGCCCAGCCCAGGAGTGAGATTACTGCCCATCCCCAGAGACTGCCCCTTGCCCTGGTGGTGCTGTGTCTGCACCTGAAGCAGCCATGGCAGCGCAGGA